CCATATCCTAGCGAGGGAAGGGGGGGAAAGTGGGTGAGTGAAAGTCATTCGTCTTGTGCCCCCCCCCCCTACCGCATGCTGGGGAACGATCTAAGATTAACCCAACATAAAAAAGTCGTGACACTCCGATGGCAGTGGTGCACAAGCATAAATAACAAACAAAAACTCGCATTCCTATATCAAGAACCCTCATTACGCGCGATGGAATAGACCCAATTAAATATTGTGTCCATTATACCCCCTATTAAGGCAGTGTTATTGACGAATATGTTGAGTTCTGAAGAGAAGCACGAGATTTGCCATCTTCAACTGAACATTTTTTTAATTGGGAGTAATCCACCTCGTGTAATAAGGGTCTTGATATACTTGCTGTTTATAAATATACATATAGAATAATGCAGTTTTTTCTGTTTACCCTAAAGAGTGGCAATGTAAAGCTAAAAGAACTACGTAAGGTAAAGCCTTGACATACCATTAGGGCAAGTACAATACAATATAGTGCCGAAATGCGACCGCATCTGTGCAGAATCAGAGCGCGTATTTGCGTTGTAAACAGAAGTTCAGAGCCACGCGCTATGAACAAGCACCCATACCGAGGCTAGGCGAAGGGCTTGAACGGGTGATATGTTCAGCATCACTACCGGCTTCCCTCGTCCACCCGTGGTGCTTTACGTTCATCAAAGAACACCGTGTGTAATTATGTTACGTCTCAGCAAACCTAGTGGAGGCCCAGGCCTAAAGGGGTATACAGTATGTGTCAATTACCACAGATGTCATGCCTAACCGTGAACTGAAACCACGTGACAATGGAATCGTAGCGCATTGCTCGGACCACGATGTCCGTTGCCTGTGCAGGACAGAATGAGTGGGCGCAGACGGACGGGTAAGATATCAGGATGCGGTGACATGAGATGAAGACAGTGGATGTGACGACAGTTGCACAGAATCAATGTACGTGGAGAAAATCCAATCTGAGCAGCCAACCCCATGTATTGTTGGGACGTCTAGCTTCGTAGGACGTACGTCTACGGGTGTCCATGCAAGTCCATGGATCTCTATGCAAAGTCTATGGAGGCGCAGAAGTGTAGAAGTGCAGAAACATCTTAAGCGGCCAAGCCCCCGTGCAACCGTGACACTTTGGCATTGGAGGGCTTCTTGCGTGACCCTAATCGAAGCGAGCAGCTGGTTATGTAACCAGCGCCTTCAGCACGAAGCAGACGGCCTCGCATCCACGCGCAACCCACGTGCCGCAGCTGGCAACGCGAGCCACGTGGTCGGAGGTCACCGTGAAATTGTCAGTTGCCATTTTACAATGAAATAAATTAAATCACGACGTTTCGGGCGCAACACAAGTGTCCATAATCATGTGGGACAACCACAGCAAGAAACAATTGCTGAAGTGGGCAAAAGGACTGCTGTAATAGGAGGCTATATAGGTCGGAAGGATGTTATTAACCAGGTAAAACCTGAACTGCATCATGGTGTTGCCTTCATTTTCCCGCATCTCCAGCTTATTCAGCTTCCCACTCCCAGCCCCGCTCACTCCAGCCCCCCCCCTCTCTATCCCCCCTCTCTATCTCTCCCCCCTTGCTCCTCCCCCCTCTCTTACCTATATAGCCTCCTGTTCAGCCTTGCCACTTCAGACCCCCCCTCTCTATCCCCCCCCCCCCTCTATCTCTCCCCCCTTGCTCCTCCCCCCTCTCGACCTAATGCTTGTAGCAGCACTTTTCATCAGCCTCCTCCTCTCTATCTCCCCCCAGCATCCTCCCCCTTTCTCCCCCCTCTACCTAAGTCTACGCAGCACTTGTAATTGTTTGTCGTGATCAAATCTTGTAATCAAAAGTTCATCTACTTCCTGTTGTTCAATCAATTCAAAATTGTGCACACGTGCTCAGATCCGGTGACAATGCATGCCTGTATCAAAATCGGCACCAATGAATCAATTAATTGGCTGTTTTAAAGGAATTGAAATTTTGTATGAACGCATTATTAATTATATATTTTTGTGTACGTCGAAAACGCCGCGGTCCCTAAACTCTCCAATCGCCTCGCCCAAGAAGCAGGCGCCACGTGTCTCTCTCATGCGCCACGTGTCACGGGCACCCTCACTCCACACAAACAAAAGTTGTACATTGAAGATTCATTTATAAAATAACCAATTAATTCAAGTAAAAGCGTTGATGTGGGAGCAGGCGCCGCATCATCGACGTACTTCTCGACCGCGAGTTAAACGAAGTTGTGAATAAAACCGTTGTTTATATAAAAAAAAACGTTTTTTAAGGAGTTTGTTTTCGAACTCGCACGCAACACGAAGGGAAAGTTCGGTGTGAACTGCCCCAACTTTGATTACCAAAGTTGGCTGCAGAAATCACACATTTGTCTCTAATAAAAAGAAAATGCACAGCACAGCTTCTCCATTGCAATACCTATGAGTCATTACCAAATGCATGCGCCTCAACGGATTTCATGTCAAATGAAAACGTGCATAGCAGTTGAGGTGTAGTGCTGCGAGGACAAATTATGACTGAACACATTAAAAAAACACATTTAACAACTTAAAAAGTTTCACAAAAGCCATTGTAAATGTGTGAAGTTGCTGTATTTGTTGTGGTGGTAGTTACAAGACCATTCCCCCCCCCCCCCCATATTGTGTTGTATGCTCATTTCCACTGCACTGAGCTGAGAGAGGTCTCTGGGCCAAATCCATTGCAAAGCATTATTCTTGGCATCGCACTGAGGATGACAATGATGAAATGTCCACGTGTTAAACACTTGGCCCTCTGTGTCCCAAACAATTTTCCTACAACCCTTCCGCAGGTGCCCCATCTTTTGTTTCCCAAGTGCACACACACACATACACAAGTCAACGTCCATCCCACCAGGTCAATGTCTTCAACGCGTCGCATGACGCACGACCAGCAATCTGAACGTGCGTAACTCCAGATAGGATTTCATGGGAAATTGATTTTTAAACAATATGTCCGGGGGGGGGGGGGGGGGTGACGGGTAGAGGGACGGTGGGAGAGAACAAGGTCTCACCCCACCCAGTAGGTTTCTACTTCTCTCGGGAGGCGAGCAGGGGGAGCTCCGAGGGTGCATCGTGGCTTCCTGCTATTGTTCGACACGCGGCGAGGGCCTCCCCACGCTGCCCGAGGAGTGCACTTGGCCCTGCCCGAGACCTCGGAACAATGGGGAGCAAGCGGCTTGCAAAATGCAGCAGGCAGCAAGGTGAAAGTTAACGTCGCAGATACGCGGAAGCGGTTTTTTTTTAATTCACGTGTACGTATTGGAATTGTGAGGTCGACGAGTCAAATTGCTGGAGAAAGAGACTGTCTGCTTGAAATAGCTGGGAAATGGCGGTACAGAGAATGGCTTCTGGAATTCATATATTTTTGGGGCGCTTCTCCAAGTCGTCCACTTTCCTTTCACATGCCCAACGCGCATGAAATGCACCCGACAAAATAGGCAATGCAGGAACCTCTCATAAAAAAAGTCTTGATATTCAATGCAGTTTCTACTGCATAAAGGTCATAATTATCTATCGTGTCTGCTAATTACAATGTGGACTATTTTTTTTTACATTTCCACTTCTTTCGCTTCAATGACGGCTCTATCTGGCGTGGAAGTAATGGGAAACTCCGACCAGAAGGCTCTGGCCGTGAGGGACAGGAGTGCGTGCCTCTCTCGCATCCCGTGGTGCCGCCCTAAAAGCCCATTTAATGCACTTAAGTGTTTAGGAAGCACTCAACATAAGGAAGCCTACATAACAACCGTATCCCAAAAAACACACATTGGCATCGTCGGCCTTAGAGAAAAGGGGATTCTAAAAGTAGCTTACCTCCAAAACAAACACAAATATCAGGGAATTAATTAAGATTACAATTTCACTTATGTTTAAAAGTATACATTGATGTATACATCTTGAAGCACGATTATTTACACAAGTTTTGGCGTTTGTTGGAGTGGAGTACCATGAGAGATGGTGAGAGGCTTGGGAAGTCGTTCATCCAACAGAGGATTGATCATGGCTGCTGCTGGTGCTGATCATGATGATTGCTTCTATTGCGTTGCAATAGGCGTGTGGTCTTAAGATTATTCTGTGAGCCTTGGGAATTTCTAGTGAAACTTGGGGAAGCTCATATTGAATGATTTGTAGCTTTGGCAGTGTGTATGTACTATATACATATACAAACACGCTGATTGTCTTCCTCACGTTGCTGTTAAACCCCAAATATTATGGTACCAATTTCAAAAGAAAGCGAAAACAAAAACAAATGCCGTGACGGCAACAAAGACGCCCGTTCACGAAGCAGAAAATTGGCCAACTCAACTTAAATTTCTCTGTAAATGTTTCCACGTAAGTGCAGCCAACGTGGCTTTCATGTAGAGTTGAGGTGGGGGGGTGGTGCAGGGAGGTATAGGGGGTGTCGGGTGAAAGCAAGGGGCAGCGTTGATGGCTGAAGTAGCGGAGGGAGGAGATTAGGGGGGAGCTGGGGGAGAGGAGGTGGCGGTGGGATGTGGTGGTGGGGTGCCCTTCCTTCCCTCGGAATTTCTCTTCCAGCATGATGGCCGTTTCCACACTGGGGCACGCGGAGGGTAACGACTTTGGCTTGCGTTCCCCGGCCTTCCCGCGCTATGAGGTCAGCAGTTCAACTCCAGTTCTTGTGCCTCCCACCGGGAGCTCAGCTTTCCTCGTCTGCCAATTAACAGACGTACGCAATCTATTTATAAGGCCTAAGTCACTTGTCAATTGACGCCCGGTCTTAAAGGCCAAGCGAGAAGCCTGCTGGATAATACGCACATCCCCAACGGGTGAGCCTCAAGAACTGGGCCGAAGGGGTCAATGTTGGAAAACCAGCCCCCGCTGGTGGACTGACCAGCTCTGACCCAAATTGCTGGCTGTGTCACACAAATCAAATCACCTCCCCACTGCGGACGACCTTCCAGAATCTACTTCATGCCGTCCATAATGCTCCCATGTAAATATATACACACGCCTACGCTGTCCCAGCCAACTTTATTAAAAATATCAATGCACATAACAAAAACGGTTTAAAAAATATCATTATTATACAAAAACTGCCACTATGACCATACGTTTTAAGTAATAATTCGGGATATATTTTTGCACTTGGGTTGTATGATCACCAATCACTAGCGGGTCAGTTTTTTCGTGTGGATTTTCAAAATCCTGAAAAAAAAGAACATTCAAAAAGTGCATTTTAAACAAAACAAAAGGAAAGATTGGCGATTTGACTCACGTCACTGGCAAGAAAACACAGCTCATTACCCTGCTTGCAATGTGCAGAGTTGTTCATTTGTTAAGCGGAGAATTTAAGCAATGTTGAAAACCGTGATGCTCAGTGGAGTACTGGAACATTTATGAAATTGGCTGGGGGCTTGGAAAGGGTGGAATGGATTGTATTTTGTTGGTGTGACACAAAAGTGTGCTGCTTTATTTGGACAGAACATTCAAACAAACCAAACAGCCCTAAAAATGTGGTATATTAAAAAAGATGCATTCCGACCAATTTTACAAAGCAGATCCTGAATTGGCTCTGTGGCAGAGATGCATGCCTTGTGAACTTCGACAATCTTCATGGAGAAATAAATGTTGACGCATACTCTGCTCATTAAACTCCACACCACCGCGCTTTGCCTCTGCAGACGCTTGACGGGCAGGACCCTCACTGTGGTACTAAGCCTCTAGCCCGTGTGGCTGGCTTGATCACGCGACTCAGCAGGAGCAAGCCGGAGCAGAAGCAAATAATAACAGGTGGAGGCGTGCTGGATGGAGACGCTTGCCGCTGTGTCAAATGAAATATGCATTTGCTGCTCGAAAGCCGCTCGCTCGCACGCACAGACTCGGGCAGGAAAGCAGGAAAAGTTTCCACGGCGGAAAGAAAACTCTCGTGCTGCTGCCGAGAGAGTTTTTTGGTTTTGGCTCACGAGCTTTTCGGGAGACATCCAGAGTGTGAGATGGAGTGCAGTTCACCGTCTCTCAAGGGGCCACCCGCCCCAGAAACTCCAATTCTCAGCACTGAACCCGCTGGCATGTGAGGTCCCGGAAACCTGACCGCGTCTATCGACACTGCGGTGCCTCAGGTGTTGCTGGCAGAAGATTAAGACTGCAAGTGTGCCTCTTCTGCAGGCATCCTCCGACAAGCTCTTGATTTAGGATGCTTCGTTCACACTTGCCCTCAAATTTCACTCCATTGTTGCACAGCAATGGAACTGTAACATTATTTAATTTATTCCCTTCGTGTTTAAATATTCCAATACAAATGCTGCACTGGCAAAACTACACATTTGTGTAAAATATGCTTTTGTGTGATGTGGCCAGTGGCAGTGTGTTGATCTGATCGAGTCCCCCTTACATGAAGTGATTCCTCTATTTTCATTAGCCTCGGGCAGGCAGTGGGGTTCAAGTCATTTGATATCAGCACAAGAGGCAGAGAAATATCTCAAAGGAAGATGAGTGGGCTTAAAACCCCTGCGCGTACGTTTCACGCTGCTACTAAAACTGCAAGTAGATCCTGCTTTGAAGTTCTTCCACGTGAAACGTGTCTTTGTCGCGTTTCCATTACCCACGCAAACAGCATGGAAGTTGCATGGTGTGACGAGATAAAGCTTCAACGTTCCTTTCCCATTCAGTTCAAGTTCAGTTGCTGCCAGTCATGCTCTTCGTCTTCAACGCGTTTGACAGTTAAATTAACGGGCATCTCACGCGGACCGCTGCAATGCGGAGATCCACGACGTGCGCGAGTCCAAGGGTAACGCTGCGACGACGGGCCCCGTCCCCCGTAGGCCATGCCCCTCCGTGACTCGCGGGTGCGGGCGGCGCGCCTTCACACGATGGAGGAGGAGGCCGAGGAGGCAGTCCGTGACACGACGCTGCTCTTGTGCACGACGTACTGGTTGGGGCGACAGCGCCCGCTGGCTCTGCCGTTGGACGAGGCGGCCCCCGTCTGGGCCGGGTGCCCCCGTGCTCGTCCGCAGCAGCAGCCGCCTCCGCAGCAGAAGGGGCAGCAGTTACGACGCGAGCGGCAGAGCAGCGCCGTCGCGAATATGGCACCGAGCGCCACGCCCGTGCCACTCAGCGCGATCACGGGGATCAGAAACCAGTCGAGGCTGCGGAGCGCCTGCTCAGAGTCCTTCTCCTTGCCCTGCGAGTCGGAGTTATTCTCTCCGTTCTCCAGAACATCTGCCCCGTCCTGCGCGGTGGGGTCGGGGGAGTTTGACTCGGAGCCGGTTGGCCCGGCTGCACGGTCGAAGCCGGCAGGGCCGCCGCCGCTGCTACCGGCGTTCTTGCCGCCCCTGCTGCCGGGGTCACCGGCGTCGGAGTCCCCCGTCGCACCGCGACCCGCGGGCGCGCGCGGGGTCGTTGCGACGTGAGAAAGGCTCCACGGCGGTGGGGAACGCGCGGCTGCGGTGTCGCGCCAGCTGCCGTCACCGCTGCCCGGCCCCAAACGCTGCCCGGTGACTGAGGGATGAGATGGAAAGAGAAGACAACAACAACAACGAGTTGTGGTTCATTTTAAGTCTACTGTGCTGTTCGAGTCCTTCCTATTCCAACGTTGCATGAAACAGATATTAGGTTAGTGGGGTTTTTAAGCGCATGAATTTATCAAACAACCGTGTTTGCGATCTCAAAATCAGAAGCATCAGTGGCGAAGCTATCGAGCGTACAGGCGGTGCAACTGCAACGGGGCCCACGTGCCGGAAAGGACTCAGGACTCAGGCTACAAAGGAGGGGAGGAAACGGACAATCCACTGCTGGATGAAGGCCTCAAGTCACAGCCATCTCTCAACTGCCAGCACACTCAACCGCTACACCACTGTCACAGGATACGCTTGCATGGCATTCATACCAAACGTGCATAATGTGACAGGTGCTAGGTGGATTGTCACATTATGTGTATTGGTATGAAGCCTCCATGTGCTCACCCTACAGCAGCGGCTTAGCTCACGAGCGTGCAGGCAATGCAACTGCACCACGATGCGTAGGCCAGGAGGGAGTCCAGGCGCTGGACAATGAAGAGGGAAAAATTGGATAGGGGGCCCATTTTCACGACTTGCACCGGGGCACATGCCAACCACGCTACGCCACTTATAAAGAGCAAAAAAGTAATAATTCCATTTATATTACATCGAGGAAACATAACTTTTGGAAAAAATACAAATATAAGTAGAAAACAGCAGTCTTGAGAACATGTTGCTTAAGTTGTGTTTGTGTTTACGCCGAAATTAACACTTTGCTGGGGGGTGGGGGGGGGGCACTGCAGATGTAAGTGTCACATTGCAGGGCTGTTCAAACAGCAGGCGTCCCACAGGCGTTGTGATGAGCTTCACGCCTGTTTGGTGGTTTCATCACCAGCAGCGGGAGTGGGGGGGGGGGCAGGGGGGCAAATAAAAACCAAGCAGAAGATCTCCATGGGAAGAAAATGGATGACGATTTACTCATTTAACAGTAACACTAAACAAATGAACATCTGCAGAAAAGTACATATTCAGCCAAAAATAAATGTCAGAGTCGGATGTGAAATGTTATTCTAATATAATTTCATTTACAGTTATTTAATCAAACCAATACTGGGTGAACGCTTCCCCGTGGCTTTCTATCAAGGGGTTTGTTTAACCAGACATCTCCGCACTTGTTAATATGGGTTGGTGAAGGACTGATATCGATCCCAGATTGATTCAGATATCACCAATGATGTTAGCCAATTGTGACTGGGATTCGAACTCAGGCCGCCAGGATCATAGCGTATTGCAATAACCACTGCACTACCAATCCACCCTCGTCTTAACATTCAGCTGAATATTATTCAAAATAAGCAGCTTGCTTTGTTAACCGTTATTGGAAACAGTGCGCGTGCGTGCGCTAAAGAGCGTGGGTAGCAGTAGTGTGTGTAGCGGTTAGTGCGCTGTGCTACGAACCTGGAGACCCGAGTTCGATTCCCGCTCATGGCCAACAACCAGTGAGGAATATCTGAACTGGTCCTGGGTCTCCCCTAGGTTGACTCAAGCCTCAAATGAGTAACTGGTGTGGTCTGCAAACATCGCCACTGGAGAGACAAAGGCGGCCACGCGTAGTGTTGGCCAATCACCCCCTTGTGTGCGGTGCCGGTCTTCAGAGGTGCTCGATGTCACTTGCCCCAAAAGTATGTTAAGCCTATACGGGGGTGGGGGGCACCTTTGTCTTTGCAAAACGAGTGACACAAAACTGCTGAAGAAGCAACACAGCTCCGAGGTTACCGGTAATTGTGCGGCCCTGCTCTTCGTCATCATCCCCCTCCGTGTCGTCTGTCTCCATTGCACTGGAAGTGGTGCCTGTGCTCCCAGTGGGGGTGGGAGGGGCGGGGGAAATGAAAGAGACAGAGGGAGGGGTGTGGGGGGGTAGGGGATGGGGGGGTCACAGTGTCAACGTCAAGAGTCCTCTCCGAGTGAAGCACAGATGGAGGATGTGTGCGAGTTTGGAGGCGCTTCCGACGATGCCCTAATTCTCTCCAGGCAGATTCTCCGTTTGTATGGCTTGCTTCCAATACAATTGTAATGATTTACCCCCTCCCGTGGTTTGAAGAATTGTCACTGTTGAAGGGGCCACGATTGCATTCAAGAATGTATTGGATTTGGCCTGCGTTTAGATGTCTCGTTTGTGTTGTTTTTCGTTACTCTGTCTCGTTCTGGGAATGAGCATAAACATGTAACAAGTCGAGTGTAGTTTGCAAATATTAACGAATTCATTCTTAACTAATTTATTATTATACAATTCAGTGACTTTATCGGGAGTGGCAGGATGGATTTCAATCAATGCATCACGAAATGCCTAGTTGCTTGCCTCAGCCAACATGCAACACGTTTACTTATAACACACAGGTAAAAATAAAACCTTGGAATAGTGGGTGGAGAGGCTATCTTTATCAGCAGGTGAGAGCCCATTCAGCCATCAATTCTCATTTGCAAGAGAGAACTGGGCCAAAATAGAGCCTGAGAAAAAAAATTATAATCTGGTGATATTTTCACTCTTGGGCATATTCTAAGATCGTGGAAAAGTTACGCTTGTTCAATGTTTATGCTTTTTTAGAAGGGGGACATTTGTCCATACTTCACCACGCTGATCAGGGCGGGTTTGTGAAGGGCAGAGGGGCCGGGGACTGCAATAGACAATTATATATCACTCGCCACTGATGTTAGCCATGGCTGGGAATCAAATTAAAGTCTCTGGGTTCAAACCGCAGTGCATTAACCACTGTCTCTCACCTTGAATCCATATGTCAATTACCTGCGGTAAAACTGATCAAACACACAACTAGCTTGAGACCATATCGCAAGTGCTCTAAAGAGACCGAGCGCGGTCAACTAAAACTGCAACATGAAGATTATTGGCATGTTAAGACAGAATTAAACATGAAAATACATTTCGATTTAAAGCTTTCGTGACTGCAGGGATTCATCTTCTTGGTTCTTTCGGTAAAGTCACGAAGAAGGGAAATAATAAAATAATAAAAATAAAACATAATAAAATAATTCTCACGACGTTTCGGCCACAACGCAAGCAGCCGTCCTCAGGTGAAAAACAGGTCTGTCGGAAAGACAGCGTCTCAAACAGTGCCGTGTTATTTAGATCAGACGCTGTCTTTCCGACAGACCTGTTCTTCACCTGAGGACGGCTGCTTGCGTTGTGGCTGAAACGTCGTGAGAATAATTTTATTATTTTATTATTTCCCTTCTACGTGACTTTACCGAAAGAATCAAGAAGATGAAAATACATCTTTCAGCTCATCTGCACCAGTCACTACTTGGGTGGTCTGACTCAGTATACGGTGGCCCGTGAATGAGAAGCGGTGGTTTAAGCAGTGCCGTGTTATTTAGATCGAATCTCGAGTTGGCCCTGGGGTTCCAGTGGCTACACTGGGTACAGTTAAATTATCTCGCGTGAAGCGAGCTGGAAACTTGGCAATTCGGTTGTAACAGTCATTGTTGATGGCCACACCTTATGAGGGGGCGGGGGGGATAATGAGAGAAGTTCCGCACGTGGAACTCGTTACTGCAGTCTGCTTGCAGAGTAATGAGCCTTCGAGGTAGTGGAGTTGTCAACCTTCACTGTGTAATCATTTAACAAGAGGTCTTGTTGGTGCAAGGGCCATCTGCGCAAGAATCCAGTGAGTCCTAACTACCACAAGACATCATGTATGTACAGCATGTATGTATGTATGTGGAACTTCTTTCACATTGTACGTAGCCAACTGTGCTGCTCTTACACTGGTGATTTTCAGAATCCTATTTTCTAAGCAACGGGTAGAGAGCGATGTTGGAGTGGTCCGGCCATGGCTAACAACTGTGGCTTGTGATATCTGAATGTGTTCTGGGCACATTCTTCATGAACTCGCACTGACAAGCAAGGTGAAGTATGGTTAAACGACTACTATAATAGACACATGTGTGGGTAGGACTTCTTCTAGCAGTGGATTGACGAAGGGCTAAACGTTATTATTATTGACAAGCCATGTAACAGTTCATTACCTCTGACCCAACCTGGGCGATTTGATTAACTATTATAATTTGAGTTCACGATTCAATTCAAGAACCCATTGTGGCGAATACAGCACCTCAAGTGGTCTACGTAAACCAATTGCGATACGTATAACATGTACGAATCCAAAAGCAGCTGATTCAGGCACGTGACCCAACGTACCACGAGCGTATGGGAACAATGGGAATCGATGAACGGATGGCGTCGTTAACACGGCTAATATTTACCACTCAAGGGTAGTCTCCAAAACACTCGCCTCTACCTCGAGGCTGCCTCCGCAAATGGGAATCGACGCAACTCAATCCTGGTTAGAAACATTGGTGGATTGCGTCTCCCTTGAACCCTGGTGCCCCCAAGAAAGGAAATACGAATGGAGGTCGAGAAGGACGTTTTTGTTGTTGTTCTTTCTGTGTGTAAGTACGAGCGAACGTACCGGCAAGGAAAGGAAGGCGTCTAATGAATAAACAGCGTGAGAGGAACGCGAAGGGGGTGGGAGAAATTAAAAGGAAGGAGCTAATAGATGTAGGAAGGAAGGGAGAAGTAATCCCCCACACAGTGGTCGTGGCAGAGGGGTCAGGCGCGATCAAATTCCACCTCCGTTCGGAACCTTCCTTCCCCGCCTGGTTGCGGTGCCGCGTGGTGCCCTCTTGGCCTTCGCCTGTGAGCTCTCGCTCGCAACAACAGCGCCACATTCACCGCGCCCCCACCGCATGTGCGCGACCTGACATGACACCGCCAACTGCCTCGGCCTCAGGGGTGGGAAATCGGCACGGGCGCTCAGGTGACAAAGCCGAAAGTGAGTACGCAGACAACTTCATGGTTTTCGCTCGATTTTACGGAAGCATCATTAGGCGTAATTATAATGAGCTGATTGCTTATGCACCCGAGTCACACGACAGATGACAAATAACGGTTATTACCAGAGGATCACTTTCAAGGGACGATAGATTCTTCAGCTCTCCGATGCGTGTGCAAGGTTTGCGCCACGTGTTTGTTTGGCATGACGTCTGGCGCTCCGAAGATATACTCTTTGTTCGAACGGGGAGCCCCCGTTTGCATTAAGGTTTGGGCCATGAGTGGCGAGCAGGTTACTCGCGAGCGACCGGGAAAACGAGCGACAAATCACTCGCGGTGCCATTCGCCATTACCGGGAGCGTCGCACCCCAGGACCTCGAGCCGAACGCCGATTCCGTTGGTCGACCACTTCTCGGGTAAGAGGCGGAGGAAGCGGGCCAGCGTGGCATTTATTCGGCGAAGCTCCGGCTTGTCGGCATTGGAATTCCCTGGGAAGATCTGGGAACGTTCAAAAGGTGTCGAGTTTGAGACGAGAAACATTTTGCACCAATTTGCTAGGCAAAGTATAATGTGTCAGGGTATTTTTAAAAAAATGTGCCGTTGCATAACACTTTGCTTGGAGTTTGGGCAACTGCCCAAAACATTGGCTCACTATATATTATTCGGTCACAGGACAATGATTGTTAGTGATGACTGTGGTACATTTTATCCAACAGTAATTTTATATCTGCTGGCAATGCAGTCTTGGGCCAAGTAAGACATTTTTATGTACGTATTAATCATGATGACGGAATGAACTCGGAATGTGGTCATCATCATTATATGCTAAATGAAGGCCTCCCCAAATTGTCGCCAAGCTGTGATGTAAAGCAATCCACCTAGCACGTGCATACGAGCCGATTTCATCACTCCATCTCCTCTCTTCATTACCACTGGCCATAGTCCCTTCGAGTTAAGTGTCCTAATGACTTTTCTTAGCAGTCAAAACTATTCTTTAAACCTGCATGGTTTCTCATCCACGCTTTCCTCTTTATTTTCTGTCTCCCAATGAAATGCTAAGCATGCATTACTCTCCGCTTCCTTGCATACTTTTCCGTTTCTTGTCTCCGTGCAAATGTGATAATTTCTATTTACGTTTTCGGAATTAAATAAATAAAACACGACATTAATGAATCTCTCCGCAACGTTTCCCCGGAGCTGGCTGCCTGCACCCCTGAGAGGCCGTTAGAGCCACGGCCGCCCTCATTAAATGGGCCCCCTGCTCAGCCTAACGCACGACTTGTCGGCATACGGGGGGAGGGGGGGGTGAGGGGGGGACACCCCACTGCAAAAGGACGGCCACGCTCAGCCTAATCTTCGTTGTCGGCGAGTTAATCTGCAACGCGTGCCGAGGTGTTACACTCAAGAGGCCTCCGAGTTGAAGCGCCCCACCAGTGTTAGGTGTCGGTGCCAACTCGCGGTTTTATCCGGCAGAGTCGGGGGCACAGCCACAACTCACGGCCCCAAGGTTCTGGGGGGGTTGGGTGGAATTATTAAAACTGGGACGTGTGCCTCCCTACCCACTGAAGGTGCAAGCCCTGCAATTGCTCGCTCACAGAACTGCTGGCAGAAGAGGGCTTTCCATGAGAGAGAGCTTCCGAAGAACGCCACTAAAGCGTATATTGGGCCTACGCTGGCCAGGCGTGATTTTTATTTTATTTTAATTTTACTTTTATTAATTTTATTTTTTTACCTACGTGACTTTACCGAAAAAACCCCTAAGAATATGAATCCTTGCAGTCACGAAAGCTTCAAATCTAGAATAATGAAGACGTTCAAGATGTTAATGATGAAGGCAATCATAATAATCAGTGATGACGGAGGCGAAAACCAAGATGACGACGAAGAGGATTGCAAAGATGCCACGGACAATGACGGCGAGGTCACCTTGTCGGCGCCCGCCGGGTCCTGCACGCCGACCCAGCTCTCCCCGTCGAGGCTGAGCTGGAGGCGGAAGCTGCGCACAAACACTTTCCTCTCGGTCTCCAGCGGCAGCCGCAGCGGGGGCCGCCGTCGCTTCGTGGGCCCGATCTTGGCGCCCTGCAGCAGCAGGCCACTCACCTGGCGAGTCGTCCCCAGGTCCACCTGCACGGGGGGTGGGGGAGGGGGGTGCCATGGCACGAGACGCACACACACACTCGTCGGCCAGGGGACTCGCGTGAGAGTCAAGCGACCTGCGAGCGTGTTTGCCACCGTGTTGACTATGTCAGCGACGATTCAGTCACCGCCCCCCGCCGCTGGTGACAGAATGGATTGTCACAGGACGGGGTTGCCAATCGATGACAACATGGATTGCTCGTTGGGCTTGCGTTTGTCGTTTCGTTGGTGTTGCTTCTCACTGTATTTCTGGCTTGTACAATTTGTCAGCTACTCATGTCACAAATTGTATAATTCGCACACGAAACGTAAATGAATGATTCTTTCGTGCAGAATTCAATGTATGCATGTATGCAAAACATGAATAATTTTCACGTAATAACTCGATTTATGTATATGCCAAGTACTGGCCCAATTCAAAACCATGTTAAACTGTGAAAATTGAACTAATTTAGTACGTTTACTCAACCGACAGTATTATTTCTTGATTGTGTAAATATTATGAGAAAAAATATGTAAATTATGTATCCAATTACGCTAAGTTTAGTCAAAGAACTCCCCATGCTCGATACAACATCGACAGGCTTTCATCTAGCAGTGGAGTAACAAAGGGTTGAAAACTATAATTAATTATAAAGAATGTGACCGTCTCCACATCATTCTTGTTCAGTGTGGTCCTTTATTGCGATATTTTAGAAATTCCACAGCAATGAGTGCGTTTCTAATTGTGACGTTTCTTTCGTGTCGTGTGCGGTGCTTTTAGCGCCACAGCACGTGGATTTGTAGCGTTTATTTTCGTTTTCTGGTGACTTTGTGTATTTCATATCGGAATCGCCTCCAGTGCTGCTGTTGCTGCTGGCGGCAATAAAAGTTGTTTAAAAGTCTAATTATTTATGTTGTTATTTATTTTTTGCGGACAAACCCTGCGTCAGCTGTAGATGAGAAAGGCTCAATTGATGTCCGGTAGACAGCGACGTCGTGCAGGCAAAGGAACCTGGTATCTGCCGCAGGTTTCACGTGTTCTGCCACCCTACAATTATTTTGTACAAAGATTAATTCCAAACGGAACTGAACTCTAATCAGTCCAAATCAAAGGCAAAGCTAATCCTAATGAATGTGGCTTCCAATATACGGGTCTCCCAAGGGCAAAGAGAGCAACAACTCGACATTAATGTATCATGAACAGCTTGGTTGTTTTGTGAGGAAAGGGAAAAGTGGGGGATGCTAGGATGTGTTTAGTCAAGATCGGCTGTTAGCGTGTCCCTGCTGTCGGCCTAGGAACTCCCCAAACGTATGCCCATGCTTTTTGGAAGTATCATGAGAATTTTGAATTTTTTACGAAGATTTTAGGGTCGGTTTTAATAATTCACGCAGCATTGCTCTTCCCCTTGCTCAGAATACGTGTTCACTCGATCTTATGGATGGGCACATTCTGTGCCTTTTGGCACGTTTTTATGCATCAATTCGTCAATCGAGTTCAATTAAGCTCACACAATACACACATCGGCCTGCGAACGTAATATCATCGATGCTTTTCGATTTGTAAACGTTCAATGGAATGGGTTCACATCACCCCTGCAGGCACTAGAGGCGCTACTATGCACTGCAATGGTAAAAACAGAAATCGATTATTGGATTGAATTGTGATTCTCATTCGACCGGGTGGGAGTGAGGTGGATGAATTGTACCACCCTCTAGATGTATTTAGAACTTCACTAACGACTCTGTTATCATTGTTGATGGTTTGAATGCTCTACAAATAAGAATGAAAGTGTTTATCAAATATGAACAACATTTTAGTCGCGTGCTTTGTTGCTATTAGGGACACATCCCTGTTGAATTCCAAAAGATTATTTGCAAACATGCAAGTAGGTTAAGCCCCGACAGGCACCCATCGGCTTCCTAACTGCTAATACCAGACTTGCAAAGCCAAACGCACGCCGCATTTACATAACCCGTTCACAGTTATGCGATTTACCAGAACTTGTTCAGATAGAATGGACAAAGAAAAAGAGGGAGAGAGTGTCCGGCGGCGGGGGGGGCTAGCGGTGGAGTTTCCCGACACGTGGTTTGGTTGCGAGCGCGGCACCCACCTGGAGCCACTGCCCACCCGCCTGGACGTTGGCGGGCACCCACCCGGATCGCGCGCTCAGCAGCCGAGCGGCCGGGGCCCCCCAGCGCACGTCGCGACTCGACGAGGCCGAGAGCTGCCGGTCCCCGATCTCGCCCGACACCAGACCCAGCATCTCGGAGCACGGCGCGTCTGCGGTGGACGGGGCCGACGTACGCACGCAGCGCGCCGTTACGAGCAAAGACAAAAATTCCCCCGGATAGCCCGGGCCAAACTGTTGGGGCAAGTGCTGTTAGCACCTATATAAATGTTGTGGTTTCACGCTTCAACACACCGGTGGGCTAAAGCAGTGAACTATTTGTCTTTTGTCAACGTGACACTTTTTTTGCTGATTGGCCGTGTCGGGTGGTGGAGGGTTACGACACATTTATAAATAACGCGATCTAAACCCAAAAAGTTGATTATGAGCACCTATGAAGGCCGGGCAAGGGCGCACGAGGGGGTGGGTGGCCACCAGCACCACGCCCGCCCGCCTTCGTCTCAACCACTGGCAATGTGTACACACCGCACCAGGTACTCGTTTGAGGCTCAGTCGACCTAGGGGAGGCCCATGACCGGTTCAGAAAATCGTCACTGGTGCTGGCGCTGAGCGGAAATGAAACGCGGGTCGCCAGGTTCGAAGAGCAGCGTACTAATCGCTAGACTACTGCTCGCCGTCATGCACACACGCGCGCATACACACACTCACACACCGATTGAGCCCTGTGCTACCGCAGAAGCTCGTACCCCCTTGAGACGTTAACTTGATTGCCATACTACCCACGGTGGGTCGCGTAGCAGTCAACGTGTTAAACTTTGGTTTTTCAATTAATTGAGTATATTTATAACGAGGATTACTAGAATTTTGGTTTCTCATGCCGAGGTGGCCAGGTAGTCCAGGGGCTAATCCCTTGTCAGAACACCGAGTCGGCATCCGCTGAGATCCTGGGGTTGAATCGGTGGTTTTAACCACGTGTAAATAAGGTGGGTTCTCAAGTGTAGCGAGTTGATCACGTGAGCCCCGTTGGTCACCAATGACTGCATAAAAAAACCCCATCACATTAACACATTTGTTTCCATTACGACCCACAGGAAGTCAAAGAGCAGCAAATCCAGTTTAACGCCTCTTGCCTGTTCCTCCCACAGTGAACAAATCATCACTCGAGCCACGATAGATCACACTTGAGAGCCAACATGTTAATCCTGTCACCTCGATTTTCTTGTCTTCGTATTCACACCAGGCATCATGAGTATGGCAATCAACTACATTCGTTGACAGTGTCACCGAAAAATACTCTTTGAGGAAGCCATCGGGGAAACCACCTCCAAAATGCTTGGCTAATTAGGGCTCAAGAACCCTAACACCGAGTGTGGTGGAGTGAGGGGGAAGACGGATCGAGTAGGATCAGATGCCATGGAAGGAGCTTGAGCCATGGACCTGCTCGTGGCCACAGAAGTTAAGAGAGGGAGAGGTTTATACCAGCCATCCCCTATAAGACACTCATTGTCCCAATGGGCTATTAACTGGTAATATAAAGTGAACAAGAGGATAAAGTATACTATGATGGATAATACACTATTTTAAATCGAATTGCTGATTTATAATATGTTTGCTTATTTAGCTGGTGCCATCAATTATATATATATATATATTTGTAAAGATGATATCACCTGTCGTTAGAATTTTAAATGTGAAAAAAGGCAAAAAAACGCAACATTCTACATGCATAAACGTGCATATACGGCAACAAAAATTATCCAACAAAAAAAACATTTATATGTGGTGCTCCGGCGAATACCAGTACAGTGTCGGCGCGTTACATTATGATGTAGATTCGATGATTAGCGATGTGGTTTTAACCTTTGACCGAAGGTTAAAGATATTGCTTATTTCGGGAGCCAGCAATGCCCCCAGTGTGTACAGAGGCCGGCCCGTGCAGCGCTGCGAGCGCTGAAGACACGCCTGGGACAAACACGTGCGAATCCCATTACAGGCAGCATCGTCGCTCGCTCGCTCGCTCGCTCACTCGGCGTTCAGCAACGAAGCAGGGGGGGGGAAACACCCGTAAATTCCACGTGGTGGAGTGAACGATGTGTGGAGAGGGCGGCACTAAGAGAGTTTCCGGAATTCATCATTGTCAGCCATGATCTGTCAACTGCTGGATGAAGGCCTCCCCGACAGATTCTCGTCATCGCTCTCAGTCCTGCGATGCAACAATCCATCTTGCTCGTGGGCACGAGCCGATCCCTTCGCTGCATCTCCGCAGCGGTCGTGATCTCGGGGCATGTTCGTCACCTTTGGGCTGCCACTCTTGTCATTTGTCACAACCACTGGCCATCATCCCTTCTAGCGATGTGTCCACTTATTTTTCTGAACGGTCTTTGCGTGTGTTATTGTGTATGTTATGGGATAGTGTAGCGGTTAGCGCGCTGCGCTATGAACCAGGCGACACGGGTTCGATTCCCGCTCACAGCCAACACCAGTGACGATTATCTGAACCGGTCCCGGGCCTCCCCTAGGTCGACTCAGCCTCAAATGAGTACCTGGTGCGGTGTGTAAACATCGTCACTAGGGAGACAAAGGCGGTCGTCGGGCGTGGTGCTGGCCACCCACCCTCTCGTGTGCCGTTCCGGCCTTCATAGGTGCTCGCTAACAGCACTTGCCCCAACAGTCTGTTCCAGGCTATATGGGGATCTTTGTCTTTGTATTTGTTATGGGATACATGCGTTCTTTTCATTGTCTCGGTGCAATTCAAAGCATGCTCCTCACAGTGCCCTTGTTTTGTAAATATGTACCCTTGGCTGTGAGTCATTGCTGCGTGACACTAGTCTGAGGTTTTCATGGAAATTATACTTTAACGTGCATATTATTATGGTGATGTTATTGCCATAAATAGAATATTGTGCTCCCATACCGCTTACTATGTTATTGCAGTGACATCACGAGTGCATCATGATGTACAGCTGTACTAAAGTCTCGCTCCCTAAATAAAGCTGGGACACACTCATCTCTGAAGCAAGACCTCTTTGTGTGTTTTTGGTTTGCATCTTCCCTTGAATCAAAAGCACGACTGGACTCTGTGACTCATTCTGAAATGTGTGTGTTTTGTCCAGATGATCGCCTGCGGTCAGTGACAGAATCGAGCCACATGTCACCACAGCCGGTGGGTGAAAACATTCATTAGGGGGAGGGGGGGTTAGGTGGGAGGCTGAAATACATTTGTTACTAAATTAAATGTTTTTAAAATAATTTATTTTCGGAGTGAAAATTTATATCCTAAAAAGTGATAGCACAAGGTTGCCACTAGCAGAGCACGTGGTCAACCGACAAGCCCCAAGCGCATGGGTTTAGTCATTTGCGTCTGTCCACCACGTGTTCTGCTTGTATTGACCTTGTGCTCTCTTGTTTTGGACAGAAAGTCACCCCCCCCTCTCCCAAAAGAAAGTCTTAAATGTACGGCCACAAAGATTGAATCGGTCGACCGTGTGCTCTGCTCGTAGTGTTGACCTTGTGCTCTCTGGACGAGCACAGCTCCTGCCTGCTCCATGCTTGAACGCTAGAGCCGGTGAATAGGTTTGAGGGTGCTAAGCCCTGTTAGCCATGGGTACTAAGTGCACTACATAATACAGCAAACAGCTCAAGGCTGTGGAAAATTAACGCGCTTCACACTGGCAACTTCAGGTCATCCGTGAGGACAATGCTTTCTTTTTGCTCAAGTGTTTCGGTAATAATAGGTCCCGAGCCCTTCCTTTCTACCCGCATTGACAAGCGCGGTGAAGTATGGTCAAACAATCCCCACGACCAACTATGGTGCTGGAAAGCTGTAATCCAAATAGTGGATTTCGAAAGTTCTGTAAAGAATTATAGTTAAGTGCTATACCAATGTCAGTACGAAGTTAGACATATTTCGCATTCAATTGCTTTTTAAGAGTAGTTTGGGGAGAAATGTTTTTGTTAATGTTAAATTACCGGGCTTGGCTGTTGATTTAATCCATCTTTTCGTTACAACCTCAAGTCATGGCAGCCATTATCAAAGCTTGCATGGCATGCATGACTTCATGATTGATTCCATCTGCAGCCTTCATCTTCGCCAACAGTTAATCACTTAAAGGTCACGCTGCATGCGACGACATGATAACATTGTCAGAGAATGTCTGAATAAACCCATCCCGATGATGCTTATGCCCAACATTTTTGGTCGCACTGAACACTCTTAACCCTTCTTTTTCTCTGCTTCAACTTCAAAACTTTCCGACGCTTGAAAAAGAGGAAAAACAACTTCATATTCTCAGGCCTGGAAACGAAAATGACCTGTTTCAGTGCCAATTCATCACGCTTCTATGACTTCGTGAATGGTTCTGACATGTGTTCATCCACAAACAATTCTAACAGACCTATCCCCCCCCCCCCCCCCCCCCCCCCCCCCCAATTTCGCGAAGGGATTCGCAAGAGGACGTTGCCACACGGGGACGTCGGTGCTTATTTGTTGTCAGACAACGACGCGCGAGCCGACTCGCTGGTGAAATTGTTCTTGCTCCAAACAAAATTCGATTCGTGAAGGGTTAACAATCGGTAAATGAAAGCCCAAGAAAGTCGGCGAAAGGGCAATTTTAATCAGCCTCCCGGTTGACGTCGCCATTTGTTCGAAAATGTAATCGCACGGGCACAATTGCTCGCATATATTTTCACGATAACCATTTTAGCTAACAATTAAGGGCTGACTGATAGCTGATAAAAAAAAGTTAAATTGGCACCCTGGATGGCAATTGTTCGGTGACGGTTCATTAGACATCGTCACTCCGAGTCTCTCTTATCGGGATGGCGTGCAGTCCGGGCCGATTATCCCAGACGCCATTCACTCCACGTCTCCCCGAGGGGGATCCTGGAATCTGATAGACGAGCGCGAGCAAACGAACGAGCGAGCGAGCGAGCGCGTGTACGTGCATTCTGCTCCGGTCTGCTTCTATTCCAGACATTTAGACACGGAGATATAAATTTCACGCCGGAAAGCCACCAGTGAACATTTAACCACCTGGGGTAGTCCTCAGGGACATTTATTTTTATATTTACTTACTTATTTAGGGGTGAGGGGTATGGGGGGGGCCTCTAGGGTGAGGTTGGAGCACAGGGGGAGGGGGAGAGGTCAGGAGGATTAACCGGACGAATGCCCCCTTCGTGTGTTTGGGGCAAGGTCTTTTTTTTTCACAATAATTTACCAATGTCCAGATGGCATGCCTCGTCGGAGGTTGTTGACAAAAAAATAACAAAGGGGGGAGAGGGGGAGGACGCATGGGATGAGGCTTGTGTTGGCACTCGGGCACGCGGGTGCATGTCGATACATACGGAGAGCTCGGAGAAAACACGTCGGAGCAACGTGCAACACGCAAGGAGGAGGCGGCCATCCCAACGTGAGCAGCGTCAGGCACGGACACACAGATGGAGAGACAGACAAACAAAGGAGAGAAGCAGAGGAATACAGACAGATGGACAGACATACAGCCAAACAATCTGTGCAAGTAGACACACAGGGGCATACAAAAATAACACAGAGAAGCAGAGGAAATGACAGAGAGCGAGAGTGAGGGACGTAGGGAGGGCGAGGGATTTTTCTTTTGGAAAAAAAAAAACTCATTAAAAAAACATACACGGCAGATGTGAGTGTGTGAGTGGGCGAGCGAGTGAGCGAGTGAGAAAGGGAGCGAGTGAGTGATGGAGCGAGTGAGCGAGTGCACGAGCGAGCGAGCGAGCGCACAAGCGAGTGCACGAGCGAGCGCACGAGCGAGCGAGCGTTGGAGCGAGCGAGTGCTCGGCGCTCACTCACCGGAGATGTGACAGCCGTAGAGCTCCAGCCGCAGACCCAGGCCGCCACGCCACCGCACGGGCTTAACGCGCACGTACCGCGCCACTACGGCCTCCGCAAAGCGGTGCAGGGCCACGCCACCATCGTCGCGGTTACCCTGAATCACCTGCGGGGGGGGGGGGGGGCAGAGTGTGGTGGCGGTTTGTGGTTGTGGTGAAGTAGCAGGCGATAGAGGGGCACGAGGGGTGGGGGTGCATAAGAATGCGGCATCCCATAGAGAGACCCCCCCCCCACCCCCGTATGCACGGTCGCAGGACGTACAAAGTGTGAAGTCATTTATGGAATGTTCAGGTTTTTTTCCTTCCTTTTGGTAGTTGTTTACGGTTGGACCTTCCCCGCGCGATGCCACCGTCTGCACTGTAACTCTCGTCTGCACGGAGACAATGATTCCACCTCCCCACGTTGCCTTGAACAGACTGTTGGTGGCAAGTGTCGTTAGCGAGCACCTATTTAGAAGGGCAGGGGGAGGTGTAGCCAGCAGCACATGCCAGCTTGGCTAGGTGGACTACCTGCAACAACCTAGGGAAGGCCAAGGACTGATTCAGACATCGCTCTCCACTGCTATTAGCCATGGCTGGGAATAAAATTCAAGGCTCTGGGTTCATACCGCAGTTCATTAACCACTGCGCCATTTCTCACACACACACACACACATATGCACACAATGAAATGGTTAACCTAAACAGTCTTCGTGGCATGTGTTCTCCCCTTCCTCATGAAACAAATCAAATTCCATTTTCCCCTAACGAAAAAAACATTCAACGTAAAGTGGCAATAAGAACGCCTGGCATCAATTAAACAGGAGCTCACAGTGATTTACTGCGAGGGTAAAATAAGAAAAAAGTTGCAGTGCGGCGTGTGCTTGTGCTTCAGGAGGCGTCGCAAGAAAATGGGGAGGAGAGACAGAGGAGACGCTGGGCCCAGTGTCAGGTTTTTCTCCCATTTTCACACGCAGGAACGTGCACGCTAGCGCACGAAAGGTTAACCGAAGGCACGAGGAAGTGATTGGTGGTGCACAAGGGCTGAGCTATCAAACAGAAATGACCTCTCACGTGCAAGCCGCCCGGCTTTCAATTAAAGCTACGTCTGGTCGAACTGTCTGCGATGACATTTACCCATCTCACTCCAATTGATCAGTCGATTTTCCTTATTGATTTCAATTCACCACACCGACCGCACGGTGTTTGCGTGACCGAGAAATGCAGGGCCGAGGGCCATCGCCTCCCAATGCTGGTGCTCGCAGCTGATGGCGTAGCTGTCGAGTTCGCAGACGGCGCAACTGCACCGAGGGCCACGGACCAAAAGGGGCCCGGGGCACGGGACTATGAAGAAGGAGGAGATATATTCTACGGGGGAGGCATTATTGCATTCCTTGCACCAGGGTCCATGCCAACCCACGCTGCGCCACCGGCAATGACCCGACACGAGCCGCGAGAAATGGAAGATGATTTCGCACAGGATTTTTAGGCGGGGTCAATGTTACGTGCTTTGACAGGTGAAACGTGTTCAAACCAGCACGGTGGAACGTAACTTAACGTTAGGGTAACATGGTGTGTGTGTGTGATGACTGTATAATCTAAATGTGATTGCTTCTGGAAATAATTCAGAGCCCTTGGCTCCATCTAATAACGTTCATTGGATCCCAGTTCAATTATCGTTTTTTGTGCAATCTAAAATTTTACCTCCCGGATATAGTGGGACTCTTGCAGCTAATAGTGCATCACCCTGTGTCAGAGAATAGCCCCAGAACACGTTAAAACAAGTACAGCTCAAGTCAGTTCTATAAGCCTCTTCATCCACCCTCGGGGCATACATTTAACATATATTTTACATATTTGTTTTGTGCAGTCATAGTTGACCAAGCTGAAGCTTTCAACTCGCGGTTTCAAATGCGCCTCTGCGGCCGTCTGGAACGCTCTTCCTTCTGATATTAGGAAGATTCCGGAACCTATGCCCTTTTAAATCCAGATTGAAAACTAATTTCTTTAGAACTTCTTTTTCGCGTTAAGTTTGTTGTCCTTCACCCCGCACCTCCGATTAGCACGGTTGGCTACGTACGGTGCGAAACATGTTCAGCATACACTCGATAGAAAACCTGGCGTAATCACAGGCGGCAGAAGCCCAAATTCAAGCCCAGGATTGTCAGTAGAGCTGGCTCAGCGCTTTGACTCCGAGCCACCCAGGCACCTCTTAAACGAGGCAGCGTCGACGACGCACGCGGCGCCGCAAATAAACCCCTCGGTTCAGGCGGTGTGAAAATTGACTCCCACCTTGTTCTTCTCGACGTCACGGTAGACGGTCCAGTCGCTCCCCGAGGTGCTGTACTCGAGCCGGAAGGCCGTGACGAAGCACGGCGCGCCCGTCGAGTTGGACGCCAGCGCTCCCTGCGTGGCCACCGCACCGAGCAGACGCACGAAGCGCAGGTCGACCTGCACAGCAGGGCAACACAGCAGCGCCCGCTTAGCCGGCCGCCATCGTGGGCACGAGCCGTCTTGTCCGGATCCCACCGTGGGCCGACCGCGCTGAGCCGGACAAACAACCCGAGCTGTGGTTAATAATGATGGTGATTGTTGTTGTTGTTTTTGTACAAGTGTTCAAATTCATTCTTGAGAGTTGTATTTGTGCAAGTTGTTTAATAGTTTACCTATTGAGATTTTGTTTTCATCAGTTTGTTTTCTTGATGGAATGATTATCATAATTATCATATTTTTACTGGCAAATGAGGTCCCCATAGTGGAGGGAATGATTATCACTGGAATGATGTATTCGTCTTTATTTGTGTCTTTTTTTCCCCAATGTATGCCAAGTCTATATATATATATATATGCCAACTAGAGACACGTCACGAGCTGCAGAATCCATAACTACCGCGGAGTGGCACAGCACCATGTGTTAATGAACTGTCCGAGGAAGTGGGTATCACAGAACTACTTTGAGATCCCTTCGAGTGACCTCACAGTCACAAACTACGGCGGCATCCCTTTCCAACCTGCCTTGCTGAAGAGTAATGTTGTCGAATTAAGAGAAAATCCCATATTATTGTGATGCTGTTATTTGTGCAGTCATTGGTGACCAAGTTTGAGACCATGAAATAATACACTATAAAATTTGGTTAAAATCACAGGCGATTGACGCATGTGTACGTAACCACATAAAAATAAGTTTAAAAAATCTGCCTAATAGCTGTACAAGTATAACAACAACAAAACTCAACACATCCATCAATAACACTGCCTTATTAAGAAAATGTGCAAAACAAGTGATGCTTAGCAATGGCCTTCTTCACAGCACAGAAAGGCGTTTAATTTGAGTACTTTACAATTTCCAATACTAAACAATGCACATTCTGCAACACCGTGTTGCCACATAAATAATAATAGATGGGTAATGAAGATGATGCATGTCTCAGAATGGTGCTGACATCTGTAAATACCACCACCGCCCCCCCTACTCATCAAATCACCAGGACACTGTTCATTGCTGCACCCACAGACACACTCTCTTCCGGTGAATTGGCCGGTCCGAAAACACACAGTTTGCCGAACACTTGTGAAATTAGGTTAAAACGAGCAGGCTACAGAGCTTGCGGTGCAGCGATTCACCGGCCATATTGCAACTCTGCCATCATGCTGAGGAAGACGGAGAGCTGTGAATGAAAATAATACATCACGTGCGCCGGTGTTGTTTTAGCTGGCTCTCAGAATTCCCCGGTTACTACAACGATGCCTTCATAAGCGGGCTCTGGCAACGGTTCGTCTTTTTTCCCTGAGCAGAGACTTCCTTTTGGATGTGCTTACGGGTCATACCGCACGCTGGCTCGGCACGGCGTCCCAACACTTTTCGCTCCACATGCCGGGAGCTTCTTCAAAATCGATCGCAGACTGCAGATTTGCTCTGAGCAGGTGCAAGCGAATGATTGATGGTCGAATGCGATACGCTGCAATCCGTTTGTTGAATCGTTGCACTCTTAGCTCGGTGGCCTCCACGTGCATTCTGCTCGTACCGTGCGTTGTACTGCGCATTGCCCGATGTTTGATTCCAAGTGAACCGAAACTAAATTATTGCTTATTTTACCAGGAAAGGCCCACTGAGCTAGAGATTATTTTATAAGTGACCTAGCCACAAATGACAGCTCCACGAAACGGCTTATCACGTGGAAATCTAAAGCAGCCAAATACTCTAAACGCACGTTGATTCTAAATGTTGATGGGAAAAACCGGAGGACCCGGAGAAAAATCCACAGGACCACGGGGAGAACATGCGAACTCCACATATACAGGTGTCGGGATCAAACCCACGAACCTCCTGTATACCGGGCGTGGGAGTTAACATCTTGCCACCGTGGTGCCCCTGTGCCAAGGTCTTCTTCAGGAACTGAATGGAAGAAGCTTCCGGCACGTGAAGCGAAAAGTTGGACATCGTACCGAACAGCACGCATTATGGCCCGACACACATCAGGAAGCTGTACAGCACAACTGCGAAAAGCTATGCCGGTAATTAGAGACTCCGATGGCGGTTTCTTCTTTAACTGGGTTTGACAACAATGAGTGCTTCTTGATTATAATTGGCTAAATCAAGCGGCGATGCTCCCTGTGGTCCTTCGTAGCAGCCTCTCCAAAGTGGCGCCACGGTGCAAAGATCACCTTGATGCGGCTACTTACTACCAAAGCAAGCACGCTCAAGATTGAAAAAAGATGGACATTTTTCGTGAATTGCTGAAAAGTATTTCGATTTAAATTTTAAGAGGACATTTAATTATTTTACATACCTGAGGTCTAAAAAAATAATAATAAGAATATGCACTTTAATGACTTGTGTACTTTTAAAACAGTGTCGTATTTAGTCTTAAGAATGAAAGACTTACGAATGCTCGTTAATGGGTTAAGGCCATAAAAGAATAATGGACGCTGTGCGGAGACAGAAATAGTCTGCGGTCGCTCATCATCTGAGCATGGGGCCACGAGGGTCCGCGGCTCCGCATTGGCAAGCTCAGCGCACTTAGTGCCCTCGCAGTGTGCGGGACCTGAAGCTCTGCTCATTCACATCCTTGCTGGTGTTTACATTTTTTGAGTTCCGATTCGCTGGAGAAAAACACCAACACGAGGACGAATTGCCTCACGGGTGTATCCCTCGAGGTAAAACGTCAACTGTGCTGCTCTCTCTTGGTGTGGTGTACACTTTGCGCTTTGTTTAAGGCATTTCCATGCGAGATGCAGGCATTCATATTCTTAGTTTTTTTCGGTAAAGTCACGTAGGTAAAAAATTTAAATTAATAAAAGTAAAATAAAACAATGCAGGCATTCCCCCATACTTCGCAATGCTCGTCAATGGAGGTTGGTGAAGGCGGGCTTGTCATTGATGTTAGCCATAGGTCAGGAAACAAACTTTGGTAGCCAGGTTTGTGACATAGTATCTTGACCACTGTTCCATCACTTTCCCCTAACCCGACTATATTAATATTAAAGAGTCATGATATTGATTTTTAAGTCGTTGTGGGGTTGGGCAGGGCCTTGGCCAACGGATGAAGGACTGTGGACAAGACTAATGATGCAGTAGTAGCCAAAGGAGGGAACACACCTGAGAGCAAGTCTCACACGGAGACTGAACAATTAATTCAGGTCACTTTTATTTCTTAAGAACTGTAAGCGATGGCTACGGCTTGGGCAGACCTTAACCCAGAATCTAATTTAAATATGCAAGTTATACAAATGTTAATTCTTTTTTTAGGGCAACTCTAGCAATTTGAAATGCTTTGCAGTGGCGCTGGCAAGTATAACTCTAATCACACGCTCACACTAACCGCAGTTTACACTTGTCTGCCAACACTCGGCCGTGTTTTTTTCTTCCCTTTCCCCTTCCTCGGCATCATTTTAAATTTGGACGTGCCCTCAGGCTCAAAATATAGCGAACGTGAAGCCAGGGGATGCGCGAGCGCCATGCAGACACCGAAACCGGCACCACCGACCACGACCGGCGTGCGCTCGCCGATCGGCCAGACTTCAGAAGCGGCGCCGTGGCGCACAAAAGCGCTTTGTGAATTTGCTCAAGCTCGGCGGAAAGAATCGGGAATGAGGGCTCAGGTCCCATCACGACCGCTCCGTTGAGACCCCAAGAAAAATAAGACCTCCTCCCAGGAGGACGCGCGAGGCACGCCGACACATTTTCTGGTTTTACGCCGCGTTTTCTCGGACTCGCTGGAAAACTTAGCACCGCTCCACCCGGCCCATGCTCCCCCCCCCCGCCCTCACCCACTGAGGGATTTCATTCCAAGCTTGACGCCTCTGCCCCGGACGTTTACAGCACGGCTCGTGGGTTTCCGTAGTTCAACAGCATAAACGTTGCTCTCCCTTAACTCGTCGCCCTTTTGTTCCCCAAGCTTCTCCCCCTTCGAATTACAACGGACCGTTTCTTGACAGAGGTCAGCAGGTTTTTATAGTTTTTTTGTTTAAACCTCATTTCTCCCTCCCCGCCACCCCTCGGTAATAATGATGTTATCCAAGTTGTAATACAGTAATGTTAATTATTAATATATTGTTGGCCGAAACCAGAACGTCCAATTCTTTTGGCTGACGAGTGATTTTCAGGAGCGCGTGTTGCGCTGTCCAAGCCCGGCCTTGCAGGGCCCAATTTTTTTTATTCCTTTCATTTCTCTACGTCAGGTGTCGGCGACGCTAATTTTATAAACCCAGAATGCGTGCATCAAAACCCTTTGCCGTTTGAGACTCTTTTGTTACATGTCTGGCATTGTGCCGTACAAAAAAAAAAAGAGAGAAAAAAAATTTGTCAAATAATAAAACTATTATTTTTTTTAAAACGTGCAAACTTTCTTACAGAAACTCGACACTCCAGTTCGGCTTTTCCACATGCGAGGCGCCTTCGCTTGTGTAAGCGAGCACGGAGCTCCCGTCACGGCCGAGAGTCACGGCACACGCACGCACGCCCGGCAGTCGGGCTCAGGTTTCACCTCTCTTGTGAAGTTCAGATTGTTGGAAGGGGGCTTGCGGTGTGTGTAGTAGCGTACACGTGTGTGCCTTGGGCTTACGCTGCCATTCACAATCTGACACAGACGTGGGCAAAAAAAAAAAATTCCCGTTAAAGAAACGAAAAATGCTTCAATAAAAAAAATGCCTGCCTTTTAGGCTGAAGGAAATGGCTCCAAATGTATGACAGTAACTTTCCAATTGCCATTGCAATTGTGTTAGTGTGCCGAGCATTAAGCAATGATTACCCTGTTTGTTTGTACGTGGCGATGTGAAGAAAAATTTAGGTAAATGAGATTTTCATGCAGACTTTTTGTCAGTCCGCTGTGGATGAAAAGTACCCCACATCGCGTTGGTCACGGGAGTCGTTTGACCATATTTGACCATTCTGGTCAGTGTGGTTGATGAAGGGGGTGGCGGCCCAGGTTCAGTTGACATATCACTCGCCGCTGGTGCTAATAACCGTGGCTGGAAATGAAACTCATGTCGCCAGGTTTATAATGGCGTGCACTCCCCACTGCGCCACTGTTCCCCCCCCCCCCCAATGCAATGCAACTAGGACAGTATGTATACCAAGTATAAATAGTTCTGCTTTACAATGAAAGGGACGGAAAAAGTAATCGGCGCAGCAAGCATTTTCATCTCCAACCCCTGGAGAGAATAGAAAATCTCTGCAGCTAATGCTCAAACACAAAGTCATGAGTGTGATCGTGGGATTAGTGGACCCTGAATGTTCCATTGTTCTCAGAGATTTTTCGTAAATATGCTATACACACCTCATTCACTTTGCTTGTTTGATGACAAACTGGTTAATGAGTAAAACAGTAACCGTTTCCCGAATCAGTTACCAGTTCCGAAAGGCAGGAACCGGTAATCGTGTTGAGTGAAGTTTTTGTAACAAATGTACCGATCGGCTCACGCGAATGTACAAACAGCACGGCGGCCTAAGATCACCGCGTGATATGTTTGCCCTCGATTCTCAGTTAAAATGTCAAGGCGCAACGCTGAAAATGCTTTTCTCAAACCACTGCCGGCAGTGTCTACTCTTCCACACGGAACAGGTGTCTGGGAAGAGATCGGCGGTCCCAACACTTTACCCCACCGCACGCGGGCTGCCGATCAATTAACGATTAAACATGGCTAAACGTATGGTTTAGCCGTGTTTGTTTGTTCAAGTACAGCGTGATGACTTAATTCAAAATTGTCTCAGTTATTGTTTGGCTTGCATCCCACTGGGATTTTTGCACACAGCGTTGATATACGGTGTTTTTTTCTGGAAGACTTTGCTGTTCTTTCCTGGATTTTTCTGTTGCGCATAGTCACTTTAAGATGTTCTTTGTTCATGTTTTTGTTTATTGCGGTTGCACAGAGCTATACCTAATGAAACTGGAAACTGAAAACTGAAACTCAAAAAATGTGGTGCGCCCATTTATAAGGGTGGGTGGACAGAAGGGGGGGGGGGTGCGGAATTAAGAAACTCGCCCCATTGTTTCAACTGCCTTTCTGGATTACAAGTCCAGAAATCCAGAAGTGTGCCAACCATTACACCATGGCAGATAAACATGTAACGTTCATTTCTAGACATTTCGTGGATGATCGACAAACCGGTGAGCAGTTATTTTTTCCGTTTTCTTTCATGCAATTACCGGTAACGCCATTTTTTCCCTTCTATTTACAACCTGAGTAAAAACCAAGCAACGAAATAATGTGTTGCTGCCTCCAGAGGCCCGGGTTACGTCTGTGCATCTGTTTGTATCGCGAGATCACCCACAGCGATGATTTGTCTCCAAGTGCAACCGACGATGCGGGAAGGTGTCATCACCAATTAATGGCGGTAAAAAGAAGAGAGGAATATATAGATGGGGAAAAGAGCAGTCAGCAATGATATAATTATATACACGTAAGATAAACATGGCAAAGGGAAGTCGTCAATAATAATAACAATGGCCTTTATTTACTAAGGAAAGCCTAATGACTTTATCAGGAGGATCCTGCATTGGGATGTTTGGCCAGTGAAATGAGTAGATATTTGGCTTCAAGTGGAAGGAAACTGGAGCACCCTGAGAAAACCCACCGCACATGCGGGTGAGTTATATAGAATCCACTGCTGCACTGCCATCTATCATTATTATCACGCTTGATTAACCCATGGAAAATCTCACTGAGTCTCAGGACTCGGTGAGGAGGGTCCTGCCAAGTTTTCCTCAGCAGGGGGCGATTATTGGCTATGTATATTCCAATGGAATAATTTACGGGTCAATTTTTACATTGTTGCCAACTTTGCAACAAAAAAATGCAGACAGACAATGGCCTACTCTTGCGAATGGCGTCACAGGATCTCTACCGTCTACCGTGAAGCAGACAGCGCGTATTCTATCGGCTGCCCTGCTCCCAAGTATGCAGCGGCAGTCTCCCATCACCGGCACTAACTGCGCCCAATCCTGCTTAGCTTCTGACATCAGATGGCATTGGATGCATTCAGATCAATTTTGGTGTGTTGTGTCGGGTGAGGAAATTATCAGTCGGCTGAAGTAGGCATGTGAAGAACTAAACTAAAAAAATATATAAAACATTTCTTTTCTTTAAAAGGTCAAGGCCCACTGAGCTATATAGCTCTTTTTCAGAAGCCACCTGGCCACAAATGATAGCTCAACAAAGTGGTGGATCATGTGGATATTTACAGCAGTCTAATACTCTAAACGCATGTTTCTAAATGTGTAGGGGGAAAACCGGAGGACCCAGAGAAAGATCCACATGACCACGGGGAGAACATGCAAACTCCAAATATATACAGGCGTCGGGTTCTGGATTGAACCTACGACCTCCTGCATACCAGGTGAGGTAGTTAACATCTCGCCTTACCGCGGCACCCCTAGTAGCCACAGCCATGAGTGTCCCCGACGCGGTGTGCCAGGAGCGAAAATAGTTTCCGGGTCGTTAACTCGTACGGACACATCTGCAACGCAGCCCGGTTCGCGTTACCTGGAGCCACTCTCGCGCGGATTCCGTGGGGGCGTGGAAGCACGCGGCACCGGCGTGGTGCAGCCGCGTTTGCTCGGCGCGCCACCGCTCCCCGTAGAAACCCGGCGACGCCGAAATCTGCTCGTCGAGGATCTCGCCAGACTCCATGCCCAGCGGCCGCATGCACGCCTCCTCCCCGTGGCGGCCTGGATGCGATCGACGGAGGATAATGAAGTAGCCACACGCTTCTAAGAACTTGCGAGTAAAGAAAATATAACACTCATTAAACGTAATCATAACTATGGAAGGCTCTTGGCACGAAGGCTTATGCAGCCGCATGCAAATCCCAAGTGTGGTCTTCCGTCTGAGGCCACGTGTCGAGCGATTCTTCTCTCAAGCTTTCACCACGCTTTACTGCTGGCATCAAGAAAAAGAGTTCATGATAAACCTTGAGAGATGATCAATTATTATTGGTTTTTTACCCTTTTATCTGGCAACCAAACTGACACCTTTTTTTACAAGGAGTCATGTTTGCATAGACCACAATACCTGCAGTCATAATGCAAACAAAAAACAGAACTGATAATGTATGCACTGTCCTTGAAGTTGATTGGTCCACACGCGAGACAGCTTTCCTTAGAGCCTAGTCTCACATGGTGTTGGACCAGATGACGCCAAAAGGCGCACAACTCAAAGACAATGCACCATCAGAGTATTTACCAATTATATTTTTTACTGGCAAATGAGGATCCAATAGTGAGAAGATATATTCTCAATATGTGGCCTAACCTGGAATTCTACAATTGTAATAACAGGCCTTTTTTGTACTGTAACCCCGCTACGTTTACACTGAAAAGTCGGAGCAACAATGAAACGTATTTGAAACAGAATTGCCCTGAATTTGTTTGTTGCTCTTTATCGGTCACAACTGGCTTTTGTGGGATGTAGTTTATACATTGTTTTTACTGTAGCATCCTGATCATAACAGCCTGTGATTATATGGAACATCAAGTGTAAGCCTATTTAGCCTTGAAACGTATTCACTGGGTCCTAAATGCATTTATCTGACAAAATATAAAGGGTACATGGATTTTCATCCTGTTTGAGAGCAGAATAAAAATTTTGGAAAGACATAAAACATTGATATCCATCCCATCAATCTTGCAAGTAATTTTTAATTCAAACAAATGGCTACCGTTTTTAAAATAAAAAAAGAAGTGAATTCGGAAACTCGGTAAAACAAAGGATCGAGGCAAATGGGATGTGAATAATGACCCAGAGTGAGCCAAATGGAATCAATGAGCGGATCTGACCGTCTGCGTTTCGCGCGTGCTTGGCCTGCGGCTGCTGGAGACCGCGCTCGAGTGGGTAGACCGCGCGTGCGCACGCGGCGACCCCGGCTCCGTCTGTGTCTGCACGATGATTTGTTATTGTGCCGACTAACCTCAATGCTGCCGAGGACGGTGCGGTGAGGCCGAGCTTACCGCTGCATTCGCACCTCAACCCCCCACCCCCCCAGCCCCCACCCCCAGCTAATCGTGACCCTTCCCCACCCCCCCTTAACTCTCCTGAATTTGGCTGGGATATTTGTTTTTTTTCTTCTCTCGTTCCAAAGAATCGCCCCTCCCCTCACAGCCCTGCAAACGGGTTAAAGGTGTATTTGTGCAGATGTTTGGGCAGTGATAGCACAGCTTTTCGGAGATTTCCGGGTGAGAGATCTTAGATTTGAATATTCCCCGGGACGAGCGCTTTGCACTCTTATCGTGTTAGTTTTCATTGTTTTGTTTTATTGCTACACGTGTTTACCATTGTTTTAGGTGGGAAATATTAAAAATCGTGAGCCGCTGAACTGTTTGATAGTGGTTCTTTAAAATAATATGATAGCGCCGCACACTCGCTTTGTTTCTAGGTTAGTGTCGGATCGGTTTCCCTGTCCGCCGCTTCGCGGAGTGGTGTGGTACGTTACAGCCGTGCCATCCTGTCTCGTTGAGCGCTGTACCGCCGTGGGTGACATTGCGCGTCCTTGGTCCTGCGTCTTCCCGTCTGGTCCTACCATACCGCGGACGGCACTTTTTTTAGTTTGAGTTTCGTTGACACGTTTCCGTCGCGCGCGCGCGCACGCGTTTCGGTTTTACATCGGCTCGATCCCGTCGCGCGCCATACCCTGGCGGGTGACGTTGCGGCGGGAGGTGGTGTAGGAGGCGGAGAAGCCGTCGCGCGCCACCTCGGCGTCCGTGTAGAAGGAGAGCGAGAGGATCCCCGTGGAGGAGCGCACGAGCCCCGGGGAGCGCGTCCCACAGAAGCGCCCCACCAGCAGCCCCACTGCACGCCGCAACCACAGCCCCCCCGGCCACAACATCAGCCACACTACTGGCCATAACATCAACTACAACAACATCAGACCACAATACCATTCTCGCCACATTACCATCTACACCATTAACCACACCTCCCAACCACATCCCCGGCCACAACATCAGCCACACTACTGGCCACAACATCAGACCACAACAACATCAAACCACAATACCATTCTAGCCACATTACCAGCCACACCATTAACCACACCAGCGGCCACACCACCGGCCACACCACCAGCCACACCATTAACCACAACTCCCAACCACATCCCCGGCCACAACATTCGGCACACAAGCAGCAGCACCACCGGCTACACCAGGGTCCACACCATACATGGGGGATCAGGGTGGGGGGATCAGGGTGGGGGGGATCAGGGTGGGGTTATAGGAGGGGCATTTAAAGACTGGGCTCCTCAGCGAGACACATAAACAAACACCAATGTCCCTCCCTGCATCCCTACTAACAAACACATGCTGAATTCCAATTATTTTTGCGAGGACTCATGCTTAACGTCATGGACTGGATTTTCCATACAGGTATACGGCTGTACAGACGTAAGTAAAGCTGCAGGCCTGTAGAGGAGGTGTCGCGTCGTGCAGGTATAACAGTGAAGTACCGGTGAAGACGCTTGACGCCGAGGTTGAGGCACACGTATATTTATTTCACAATACGACAGTGGGCATATACACACTCGAGGGGGTATCGGCCCCCTCACCCGTATAACTCGGGATACACCCCTAGCTAACTCTGTCCTAGCCCCGAATCCTCCACTAATGGGCTAGGGGAGGCTAACTGGCCCGACACTGGCAAGTCGGGCCCGGTACCCGGAGTTCCAGACCAGCTCTTACAAGAGCACCGGCTCTGGCTTTCGGGACCACGCCGCTGGCTCAGTCCTGTCCGGCCCTGAAAAGGACATCGAACTAGGGGAGTCCAGGGCTCTATCTAAGACGTCTTCAGTCTTCTTCCCTTAGCTTAAACATAACTGCCTCGAGCCCTTTGAACATCCCCTTTTATACCCAACCCCTCCCTGAGGGGTGGGGCCCCAGGGGATCATAACGTTCGAACCAGCCCCCCCCAGGGTGTCTGGCTCGGACGTCGTAGAGGGCACCTCCTCGTGCACTTATGTAGCCCCGCCCACTGTGTTTGTTTTCCATAGGCTGCCATGCATAACGGGCCCTCTCTTTAACACCCCTACAACAGTATAACGATGTGGGGGTATTACAGATGTGGAGCTGCACAGGTGTGTGAGAAGATATACGACGTGGGGCTGTATATCTGTACAGACCCTCGGGCTATATCAAGATGTGCTGCTATACAGCCAAATTAAAAACATGTGGCTCAACAGAAGTACATCTACGGTCCTATGAAATTCCATCCCCACATTAGAGACCGCACAGACTCAAGCCTACGCGAACATCACGCTAAACGACACATTTACAAGCAATCACGACAACAAATGTCTCGATTTAAATAACCGCAGCTCAAAGCGCCGGGCTTAATTGAGAGGCAACTTTAGGGAAGCAGAATGCAATGGGGAGGGGGTGGGGTGGTTATAGCAGAAACACATGGGAGGTGGGGGACGAGAGGGAGGAGGAAGGGAGAGAGAGAGAGAAAGAGCGTGACATTTGGGTTCCACCAAAACAGAATCTGTATTTATAGTGGAGGAATCCGGTGAGCTATAAACCTCTTTTTCACAGATGTCCAACCGGGGCGGGTCAGAAAGTTACGCTAAAAAGACAACAGGAAAGGTAAGAAAATCACAAAAAAAGCTAAACAGTTTTTTTTATTTTACCAGGAAAAGCCCACTGAGCTACGAGCTTTTTTTTTCAGAAGCGACCTGGCAGCAAATGATAGCTCAAAGAAGTGGCTCATCACGTGAACATTTATGAGAGCCAAAAGAAAATCTCAATAATCTAACTAACAGATGTGGAGCTGTACAATCCACTTTCCCCCACACCTCTCATTAGCATGGCTGGCTACGTACGGTGCAAAAGAGGTTCAACACATACACATACACAAAGACAAAGATCCCCCATATAGCCTTAACAGACTGTTGGGGCAAGTGCTGTTAGCGAGCACCTATGAAAGCCGGCATGGCACACGCGGGGGTGGGCGGCCAGCACCACGCCTGGCCGCCTTTGTCTGCCCAGTGATGATGTTTACACACCGCACCAGGTCCTCATTTGAGGCCGACTCGACCTAGGGGAGGCCCAGGACCGGTTTAGATAATTGTCACCGGTGTTGGCCGTGAGTGGGAATCGAACTCACCAGGTTCTATAGCGCAGCGCGATAACCGTTACACTACCGCTTCCCACACACACACAAGCTTCTGCACGCACGCACGCACACACACAAGTTTCTGCACGCACGCACACACACACAGAATTCCGCCGCGAACTTCACGACGACGATGTGCGAAGCGGCCGCGTGCCCCCTCACCGTGCGGCAGGCCGTCCCACACCTCGAGCCGGTCGTACTGGCACGCCAACGCGGGCTCCACGGCCCCCGGGGCCCTCGTCGCGCCCTCCAGGTGGAAGTGCGTGAAGCGGAGCGACAGTTCCACGCCGCCCCGAGCTGCGCGGATCACGTAGGTGCACGCCAGGAACGGCGGGTACTTGTCCGGGAAGCCGGGAGACGACACGACGCCCGCGGGGCCCGACAGGTTGCGCGAGCACGCGTCCGAGCCTGCGCCCGGTTCACAAAAGTAAAAAAAAACCCCGAGCACAACGAGACACGTTACCAACTGTGCTAATTGAAGGGGGGGGGGGGACAACAAACTAAAAGACAAAAATATTTTTTTAAGAAATTAGTTTCCTATCTAGATTAAAAAGTGCATAGCTCCAGTGGCTTCCTAATATCAGCAGGAAGGGCGTTCCAGACGGCCGCAGAAGCGTATCCGAAAGCGTGCCGTGCAGCGAGCGACCGTCTTTGTTGTTCGATGGCTCGCCATTGTGAATGAACGTGACCCGGTCTCGTCACGGCTGGCAAGCTAAGTGGTGCTTGGGGCGTAGTTCGCAGTTGGGCGGGAGACCGACTGCGCTTTTCACTTTTTCCTTGCTACATTCCGACAAACATTTGCTTTCTGGAGAATGTGGCATGTGAGAACGTGACGTAAACTGTGAATTACATAAAACGTCAAAGCAGGAGCCTGGTTCCACCGCCTCACATCTCATGACTTGAGGCTCATGACTTGAGGCTCATGACTTGAGGCTCATGACTTGAGGCTCATGACTTGAGGCTCATGACTTGAGGCTCATGACTTGAGGCTCATGACTTGAGGCTCATGACTTGCTCATGTCCAGGGGTGGCCACTGACACCATGAGAGTGGTCGATGGCGGAAGATGTGCAAGTCCCACGTGCCTTTATTACGAACCCACTCTAAAACTAAACAATAGTAATATTACATTTCATGGAAAAAATACAATCACACTTACAGAAAATTTCAAACAGTGTCCCTTATTCGGAATACATGTGTTAATGTACTCTGTTGAAAACCCATTGCCTATAATGTGTTACACTTATTTTTCCGACATGAATACGTAATAATTTACTGTTCACAGGCTAAAGCTAAGATTTAGAACAACACATGTGCTGTATTTTATAGTTGGAAATGTCCAGATTTGCTGTGTTCTTCTTACATTGACATACTAATATCTCACAATACAATGGCCACCCCCACAGCTTCGTTTGTCAAGATTTACCCGATCTTACATTTACATGCAAATTTCATCTCTAGCCCCTCCCACGGACCCTTGGGCTACATCCATCTCATACCTTTATAACTTCCTGCCTTAGCAGCGCTCCCACCATATATTCTCAGCAGCTCTCCCGCGATATTTCTCACCTGATGACGATTGCTTGTGTTGCGATCGAAACGTCGTGATATTGTTATTATTTTTATTCTTTTTTAATATTTGATCTATCTACGTGGCTTTACCGAAAGACCCAAAGAATACAGATAAGATACTTTGGAAAGTGAGATGCACTCCAAACTGATGTAATATTAACAAATTGCAACTTATAATTGGGAGAAAACAGTACGATGGAGAGTCGTTTTCCAGACAATAAATATAAACATGCAGCTTTAAATTGTCGAAAGATGTCTTCACGAAAATAAATTTGAATGGCTGGTGTCTTCCGTCCTCTGGGTGGTCGAGCATTGCAGTGGAAGACCATCTTCCGAAAGTTAATTCTCAACGACTAGATTAAAAATAAGTCTTCCGGAAAACAACGTCGTTTCCTTATTGCAAGACGCACCCCAAACTTTTGTGTCGCATAATCCAAGGACATCGGCATTTTATTTTTACATATTTTCGTATTTTTCGCAGAGTTACCGGCCGCGCAAAAAAGCATTAACACCTGTAAAAAAAACACCTGCTGGGCACGGCGCATGAACCCAGCCACAGTCGATGTACCACGCTGTTCGCAGGATGCAAGAAACACTGCTAATTACACATTTACCAGTACCCTGCATTTACCCGCCGACGACGACATCCTGGGAGCCAATTAAAGTTGTACTGCCCAATCTAAAAATGAAAGATTGCAAACGGCAGCTGTCGAGAGCTCCACGTTTCGAATCGGTGCGGCGCACATACAAAGACAAAGATCCCCCTTAAAGGCTCATCAGACTTTTGGGCCAAGTGCTGTTAAGCGAGCACCTACGAAGGCCTGCGCGGTACACGAGGGGTGGGTGGCCAGCAACCATACCCGGCCGCCTTTGTCTCCCCAGTGGCGATGATTTACACACTGCACCAGGTACTCATGTGCGGCTGAGTGAACCTAGGGGAGGCCAAGGACCGGTTCAGATATACATCACTGGTGTTGGCCCGTGAGCGGGAATCGAACTTGGGTCGCTAGGTTTATAGCGCAGCACGCTAACCGCTGCGCCACCGCTCCTCGCATACACACACGCATCCTGTGAGTTGCTCTTGCTGTAAGCATCGCTTTGTGATTCTCTGCCAAAATATATATTGGGCAGTTTGACGGCACGGTGTGATGGGGTGACGGATGATGCAGGACCTTTGGTCCCCAGTTCTCTCTGCTGTTCCAAGCTTTGAATGCGGAGATCACAGGGAAATCTCAAAAATTGGGAAGTGGACGTGGGCAAGGTGCCAGACTTCATAGGTGGTCGTGCGATCGCATATTTTAGCCACTTTACCAGCAGTGCAGCTTTGAGTAGAGACAACAATTCAACTGCACCGCACCACCACGTGGTCCTGTGTGTATTTTTTTTAAATGTACGTCGTGCTCGTTTTTTTTTTATAACATCAACAATGTACAACAGCCCTTTGTCAATGTACTGCTCGATGAAGGCCTCCCCATCTCGCGTCGGCCGCCGTGGGTGCTGCGTGACGACATTTCACCGCGAGAGCAGAATGAGATGAGATGCGAGAGGTAGGAGGAGAGAGCATGGAGGGTCGTACAGTCGGATGAGAGCGTTAGGGTCAGGCAAGCGGGCTGAGTCCACAGAGACAGAGAGACAGACAGACAGACAGCGAGACTGCTCACCCGACTTGTGTATCTCGTAGCGCAGGGAGAATCCGGCGCCCTGGTTGGTGTAGTCCGAGACGAAGCGGATGAGCAGGGTCGGCCCCGACGACACAATGGGCGCGGGCGCCACGCTGCCGCAGAAGCGGCCCATCGCTTCGGCCGCGTCTCCCTCGCCGTCCCGAACCTCCACGTAGTCAAACCTGTACGTGGTCGCGCGCACACAGTGGTAATCAGTAATGATGTGCATGTGCCCATTTATAGCCCATTTGTCCATCCACTGCTGCATGACAGCCTCCCCTCGCCATGCTTTTTGACCCCCACCTTTCCAGAGCATAGACACGAGAGCATACGAGTCCAATACAACAATGGATTTTGACGCAATGCCCTCTGCTGCCCGTAATTATATCCCAAACACAGCCTATAGCACCTGTAATATCCAAGCAAAAATACCCTCTGATTACACAGGAAGGCCTCAACCGTGTCCATCGACTCTGATATTTGGCCAATGCCTTCATGCGCTGATTGCCACCTGGAGAGAACCCAAGGGCAGTAACGGCCAACTCTGCGCGCACAGATTCACGAACATGCTCCTGGCGGAACTCACAATAAAGCGAGTGCCAATGCTATCCCACAAGCGTCGACCATGCAACGGAGACCGGGTGCAGCGTACTTGGAAGATTCACGTGGCCCCGGGGCTGGTATACAAGTGTGCATGCAAGCGCTCGCGCTTTGAATTCCTTGGAACGGCAAGCATTGTATATACATCGGTATGGAAAGAAATAAGATCTATCCTGTTTATCCCTATAGACTATAGAGTCGCAAGCTGTTCGTGAGCACCTATTAAGGGCAGCTCGGTGCACAGGGCAGCATACGTGACCAGCATCACACGTGCCCAGCTGCCAAGCAAGGCTCCCATGGTGTTGGTGTCCACAACTATAGCAGCTGCTCATTTTGTACGAGTGCGGTGACGCATCGATTCGTAAATCGATGCTTTAAGATCACGACACACACGGACATCGAATCTTGCGTGTGAGAATCGAACTCGGGTCGCCGGGTTCGTAGCGCAGCGCGTTAACCACTACGCTACTGCTCCCCAACTCCCTACATATACTTATAGTACACACATACACATATAAAATAAATAAAGATCCCCGATGTAGCGCTCAGCCTGTTGGGGTGACGAATGTTGCAAGCGAGTAGCACCATGACGGGCGGTAGATCACTGGCTACTATCAGGATGCCTTCTGGATTCCGTTTGGCAAATGAAGGCTTGTTGAAGAGGAGACGGAATTGGAAGAAATAAATTGTCGAGCCCAAACGAGAGAACGTGCCGGAGGAGACAACTGCCGTGGAAAGAGAAGATTTAAGATCAGCTCAAGTGGAGGGGTGGGATGGATTTTGGCAGCTCACGATCGTGAGCGATGGCAAAGATGTGGGGAAGGAGCGCCTGCATCCAGCAGTGGGTAGACCACGGCTGCCGACGATAATAATAACGATATCAATTAAACAAACGTATTGTTTCGAACACACAACACACACAGATACAAAAAATCGACTAATCGAATTAAGACGAAATGTGTTTTTGGACTAAGTCTATAAAACTACACAGAACCACAGTAGTAGTGGTGGTGGTGGTACAAAAATCAACTTTTCTCTGAGCGACCGCTCGCATGTGGGACAACTGCGAGGGAGGGGGCAGCAGGGCTGCGGGGAGCGAGTGGGAAGGGCCCCGCAGCACGGGGCTAATCCAGATGTTGACGCGTGGCCCCGACTGCTTTTTCACACCAAGACGCAGCAACCCCCCACCCCCCCTATTCAACCCCAGCGAGGCGACCCACAGGAACAAAGTGTCCCCCCGCTTCGCAAATCTCTCTCGGCTGCCCCGCGCGTATTAAACAGCAGCGGCGGCGGTGGCGGCGGCGAAGCGAGCTGTGTGCGCGAAGTTATTTACAAGGGGCCGATGCTACGCGGTCGAGCGCACCCCCGTTGTTGAAACGGAGTGCAAGCCGCGTCCCGATGCATTCTCCCTTTCGCAAGGGGAACATGCGTTTACTGCAGTCACATGGCGGACGGTTATTGATGTGGCATGCGCTTTGAGTGGCGTGTGGGTGGTTTTAAAATGTTGACAACCCACGAGCATCTGTCTGTCCACGTGAAAATAACAGAAACGATTCAGTCCATCAGCAGCTGCCTTTGTTTAATGGGCCCGCCCTAATCTGCTGAAAGTCAACACCAGTTCAGAGTTGCCTGCTCAAACAAATCCTGCAAGAAAGGATCGGGTCATAGAGCTTGGACTGATGTATTAAATGATTTAGTTTTCACGCAGAAAAACAGATCGTAGTCTGTTTGTTTATGCATTACCCACAATCTTCCAATATCCATTGACGTACTGCACTTCTATGGTGCTACGGCTATCCTCCCCGTTCTCAGTAACCTGCACGAACGAGCACGGTGAAATACGGTAAAATAACCGCCATGACCCACACGGCGTGGGGAGTGTCCCTCATCCAGTAGTGGTTTGACACAACATTTCAAAACGTAGATTTAAAAGTTGGCATCTGTGCGTACAACTAACGTGCCATCATGAGCGACGGTTCAGGCTGTGTACCATTCACAAGTGTAACAGCTGCGATTGCGATCCTCACTCCGACGTTTTTTTACGAAAGTTCCAGGGACTGAAAAGTTGAGCCCTCCGTAGCTGACTCACTGACAGGCAGCACGGTGACCCGTTGGTCGGTATCATCCGGTAAAGTTTCAGGCAATGGGACCTCTTACGATCCACTAAAGGGTCCACGTGTCTATACAATGTTGAATTTCTCGTGACGAGGGCATGAATGTTTAATCATCAACATCATCATCACAATGAACTCGCTTTTAAAACCAGGTGAGAGTCCAATGAGATACATGTATTTTTTAATCCTTTATATTAAGTTCACTTGCTTGCTTAGGACCGTGCAAATCTTTCGGTCGTTTTTTAACCCACTTCCCGTGATCCAATCGAGCTGACATTTTCCACACAGACTCGTTGTGCGTGACAATTAATGTTCGTGAAAATTTTTTTCCAAAATTTTACACTTTTTAGGACAAAAATATTATATTTAATTACCAATTGCTTAATGCTGCCATGCAATCATCTGACCCATAGGTGGCAGCCATCTCAAGCCTGAGGACGAGAGGACTCTAGCCGCCACGCATATAAAGGATTTATAGTGAAAAACTTTGTTTTTACGGGTTATACTTGTACATATGTATGTTGAACTTCTTTCGTACCATATGTAGGCAACCACGCTAATCGGAGGCGAGGGAAAGTGAACACGTGGAATGCAAAGCAAGTTCTAAATATCTAAAAATATCTGAGCACAGATTAAAATAAAACTTTAACACAAACGAATCAACAAACTGTTGACGAATATGTCCAAAAACCTAAAAACTCTGGTACAGCCATACTTTTAACATAAATTTGAAATGTTTTAGTGTTTTCGCACCAGCTGTCTACTCCATGCCACCTACAATAATAAATACATTATGACCATTTTAAAATTTGATATTATTCACTGCTACCGAAAATATTCTGACCAATAATAATTTCAACTTACATGAAACTTCGATTTAAAGCTTTCGTGACTGCAGGGATTCATCTTCTTGGTTCTTTCGGTAAAGTTACGTAGAAGGGAAGTAATAAAATAATATGTTTTATTTTTATTATTTTATTACTTCCCTTCTACGTGACTTTACCGAAAGAACCAAGAAGAGTACATGAAACTGTTCAAATTTTATACATGTAAAAAAGGGGGCCTAACAATGCCACCTGCTGTGACGACCGTTTGCCTGCATTATAAATTCAGGAAACATCCACATTCGTGATCGCCATGAAGTGGCGACGGAAAAGAAGTACTGACAGCACATGTCACGACAGAGGTTAGCAGCGAAACTTGCACTCACAATACAAAATGTGTCTGTGGACCAATCGATTATTTACTATGTGTGTACATCATATGCAATCGTCAAGATGTAGAAATGAGACGCAAAAATGGGAAACGTCACAAAGCAGATGGTATGAAGAGAGACAAAAAAATAAGAACGCATTTCTCTGATGGAATTTTGACCCTGACGGTGGAGAGGCCTGGAAATAAATATAATGACTGGGAGAACAGATCATTACAGGCTCCAACAAAATGCAGTCCCTTGCAATTTCGCTAAACAACCATCATCGCTGACATAAGCTCTGCACCTGCAGTCACGCTTCTCAACATCCACTCTCTCTACTCTGAAGAGCGCGCCACTGCCCATCAATTCAGCGAATCGTCGAGAGGAACTAATGGGCCCAATAAAATCGCCCCCGCCTCTAATTCCACGCGACCACGGTTCCCCAGGAGCGCTTCACAACATCTCTCCCCGTCGCCTCGGACAAAACGGTACCTGCCCAGCAATTGATTGATCCGCTGGGTAAATGAACAATTACACGCCCCAAACAACGCGCAGCCCCCCGTAATGCCTCTAAACGACTGTCGCCTTCGGCGGGTGAGAGGAGGGGGGGGGGGGAGGTTCCTGCACCTGCAGTCGTGCTTCTCGATGTCGAAGTGCGGGTTGAACGCCAGGGCGAGGCGCTGGCCGGGCCCGGCTGCCCGCAGCAGCCACTCGCAGCGCTGCATGGGCGGGTAGTCCTCGGGGAAACCGGTGGAGGCCAGGTAGCCGGGTCCCTGCACCACCAGCTCGCCCCCGCACGCCGGGCCCGCTTGTGCCTCCTCGCCTTGCGCCCTGCCAGGCGGTGGAGGGTGGCGGCCTGCAGGAGGAAGGGGAGGGCACAGGTCAGCTGATGGTGGTGAGGCCAGCGTGTAGCAATGCAACACCTTGGTACGTTCAAGTGAATAGTATTGTGTTGCTACCATCATTATCGTCGTCCTCACTGCCATTGTTATCATTGCTGCAGATTGATGTATTTATCTATATGTAAAGTGTTGGGTGTGTTGAGGTAATCATGATTATGTCATCATTGTTTTCGCAAGTCATCATCGAACGATTACCTGAATGAAAAGCGTTTTTGTAAATGCTTAAATGTCCATAAGGCAATGTTCATCAAATGTTTCTTTCTTTCAGGGCATCCCAGAGTGTGAAGTGTGATCTCAACTATAAGGCAGTCGCCCAATCTCTCTACTCTTGGTCTGCTCTCAAAAAAGTGCCACTCCCTGAAACATCAGTCTGCTACATAATTGATTTCTGTTATAAGGCAGTGTTCACGATGAAGGTGGCTAGTTTGCTTCAAATATCATCTTCAATATGGGCAACAAAATATGAATTACCATCATTTCGCATGAGGATGAAAACAATAAACCCCTCGTTCCTGTCAATAAATCCTTAGAACAGCAAGTGTTAATAGCTCGGCTATCGAGTTGTATGTGTAGCAGGAACAGGGTCTATCTCGATAGAGATCTACTGGTGACATACCAGAGCTAGGGTTAGAGTCAAGGTTATGGTGATTTTTTGTATGATTAAGGTTAGGAAAAACCAGTTCATGATCTAAAAGTCGTAGACCACTGTGTGTTTATGGATAGATCACCAACGATAAGAATACCAAGAAATGTTTGCTGCACGTTGTGCATTCCCCAACTCTGCATGGGGTAATTCTATTTAGAATATGGAAGAGTATGTCCGCAGGGACAGACTGCCACGGCTCATGCCTGCACATTCAATCAAGGTCCTTCATATTAACGTAGTAAGGTGCATGATTGGAAATTACATTAAGGCAGATAGAGGAATGCATGGATTAAAAAAAAATCATACCCACACGAAAGACACAATTTAAACCGTAAGGAAAGTAAGTGGGATTTGGGAAATCACGAAGTGGCAGCCGAGGAACGGAAAGCATCTTAAAGGAAACCCACTGAGGAGATGGAAATTAGCTTGTGTGCAGAAGGATTAAGCTGCATTATTAGATCTCAGGATCACGAAAATAGGCGGCGACTTTGGGAGGCTTTCGTCCAGCAGTGGGATTACCACGGCCGATGATGATGAGGATGCTGGCGGACGCACAGAACTATACACACCGTCCGGATTAAACCGCACGTGTGCCAGCTGCAGTGGACGACTGCGCGTGCTTATTGAACCCAGCACCGACACACGCTGGACTCAAAGCACGAGTCTGTGGCCGTGCACTGCACACATATACAAAGCTCTGCTCTTGCATAAACACACTTTTCCTGTCTACCTCTCGAAACGTTCCTCATATTTCCACAGACCGTTTCAGCACTCCCTCTCTTTAAATTACCACATTCCTGCAGCGCCACAGAATGAAGGTTCTGTGCTTTGAGTTTCCTTTATTTTGATTTCAGTGACGCTATAACCATTAATTCATCTAGCCCGTGAATGAAAGTTCAAAACACATCCGATATTTTTGTTTGGCTTAGAACATTCCAATTTGAACTCGTTCACATTTATTTTACCAGGTGTGAACCTGAACAGACAAGTGGCAGGGGAGAGCCGTAAAATGAATGTTCAATTCCATTGCATTCATTCCATCTCCCGTCCAAGTCTAACATATTCCAAGATACCGTGTTCCATAGCCTTTACCCAAGTCCAGACTGCGATGCGCATCATGAATACTGCATCCCCAGGCTCACCGTGTTTGACAGCTTACATAAGGAAAAAGGATGCGCAAGCAGAGGAATATATTGCCCATCGCCCGCTCCTATTTCCGTCGTTGTCTCCGTATATGACAGGAATTCCTGTAAACGAGCACTGGGATCTGGCGAATTTAAATCTTGGCATTTGATGTATGGGATTTCCTGTCCGAATAACTTAGCGGGCGAAGCCCGGGGGCTCTCGTAGGGCCACTCGTGCTGCACTCAACTATAGAAAGAAGCAGAGATTCATAGAGCCTCACATGAACACCTCCGATTAGCACAGCGAGAAGTTCAACATACACACACCAAATGACGTGCTGTATCTATACAAAGTATAACAACCGGGGTGGATCGGTGGATCACCACTGCACTTTGAAACTGGATACATCAGTCGGAGTCCCTCCCACTTCAACCCATGATTGACCAGCGCGGTGAAGTATGCTCAAACATTACCTAGGGATCGACTGACATGGTTTGAGGAGGCTTTCATCCAGTAATGGACTGACAAATAGCCGTACATTATTCGGCCTATTTTTAAAACACAACTATTAATCTTAAGTGTGTAATAACAAAACGTTCTTCACTTTTGTCACGTGGCGTCCAAATGTGTATACATCGAGAGAGAGAGATGCATCATGTGGTCTGTAAAGAAACATGACAGGGCTTGAACTGGACGCGTTTCTCGATGGAATGATGGCCAGTGGTCGAGACTCACAATGGACTAGCAGCCAAAGGATAGAACACGCACAAAAGTACGTCCATCGCGGAGACGGAGCGATTAAATTAAATCGACTAGTGTGCACGAGCTAGATGGATTGTTGCATAGCATGATCGCGACGCCTTAATCCAGCAGTGGATCAAGGTTGATGATGAGACTGCATCATTGATTCATTGAAAATGCGGCGTGAAATTGAAACAGTAGCGCAGCAATTATCGACAATACACGATCGAGACATTGATCTGCGTTGAAAAAGCACAACGTTACTGAATGGAGGAACGGTGACACAGTGGTTAGCGTGCCACGCTATAAACCCAGACACCGGAGTTCGATTCACCGCCACGGCTAACATCAGTGACGAGTTACATCTGCACTAGTCGTGGTATCCAGACCCCTTCGGTGAAGTATGGTCAAACAACCCACATTCTCAAACAGTGGATTGAAAAATGAACTGTAAAAAGTAAATGGTACCGTGATGCAACTATTTGAGCACTCACCATCCAGGAGTTCGAACGCTGCGAGCACGTGGCCCAGCGCAATGGCTTGCAAGATAACACGCGCAATCATCTCAAAGAGCGTGGTCAAAGAACTCGCTGGGTTCGCAGATCCTACTGGTTCTTCTCCTACAGGTTCTGCAGGTTCTTCAGGTTCTTCTCCTCCAGGTTGTTCTGTAGGAGAGCAGCGTAACTATAGGCTTAATAAATGAGCAGCTTGTAGGTGCAATGATAGAGGAACTTGCAGGTTCAGTCAAGGGTAACCTTGGAGACTCAAGTCACGTAGGAACTAGTAGGTAGGTTCAAGAGGCAGTTTGTTGGTTCGCTCAATGTGGAGCCTGGAGATCCAGTCAATGATGAACTTGAAGGCTCAATCCAAAAAAAACACTTGTGAGCACTCAAGCAGCAGCTTGTCGGGATCAAGGATGAACTTACAGGTTCAATCAAGAGGCCGCTTGTAGACTCGGTCGAGGAGGCTCTCGTAGGTTCAAGAAGCAAACTTGGTGGCTTCAATCAAGAGCTGCCGATGTGTGGAAGTCTCAACGCGTGGGCTTTTCAAACTTGTGCTGTTGTTCTAGACACAGCACGATATGCAACGCAACATGAACGCCGATCCCGTGGTTGCACTGCAGTCGCTGCCGCCACCGCTGGCAACTGAGGTTGTGGGGGGGAGCTCGTTCTCTTCTCCCTCTCTCTCTCCTATTCGTCTGTGGGGTCTGGGATCCCAGTGGTCGACAAGGACCCTCCCCGAGCAAACAGCAGAGGCGACACGAAGCGAGCACCCTCCCGCCGCGCCAGCGACTCCCGTGTGGCTGGAAACCAAAACATTTACGCGTCTGTGTTGTGTTTGTCGCTGCCGGTGTTGACTCGCGTTTCTCAAGTCGCCGACGTCTCTCCCCTCCGTCTTTGCCCCCCTCCTTTAAAGAAAATCAACTCCAGTTGACTCCGGGACCAAATGGTGCCCCTGCTGCTGCTGGCTGAATTGCCCCAACTAAAACACACACACACGCGTATTCGATTTGAACAGCCCCACTGCCGATACGTTTTATCGCGAACACATCATCGTGTCTGGTTTTGGCGTTTTTTGTTTGTTTGTTGTCGCTTGTCCCACGTCGCTCACAAGATGTGCCGCGTTACGGGACTGAGACGTTTCGCGTACGACCTCCAAAAAGGTCCTCCCACCCCACACCCCCCCGTCTCACTTGAACAGCCTGCGCTAATTCATGCAACCCGACTAAAACTACTCACAACTCCAGCCCTCCTCGTCTCGGGCGCGTGTGCCACTCGCACGGCACCGTCTCGTTATCTGCACGATGTAAAACAAACGCGCATTGAAAACAAACGCGCGGAAAAAGAAAGAACAAAAATCCACCACCCTCCGCTCGCGTCTCGTGCTGTCTCAGCCCCACGCTGCGTTCCCGTTGCCTCCTTCAGACTCGGCACTCCTGGCAGACCCTCCTCGCCTTTACAGCGCAGCACCTCGGCCCCTCCCTCCGCACCCCCCCCCCGGCACCCCCCGGCATACCTTGTATAGCCGCCTACTCCTCTTCCTCCTCTGTGCCGAGAGGAGCTTTCGTTGGAGCGCCCCCTCCCGCCGGCCCAGCGGCCCAACGGAACGTGGGCGGGCGGGCGCCTTTGCGTTTTGGACTCGCGGTGCAGGAAGGGCGCAGAGAGAGAGAGGGACAGAGAGACACGGGAGGGAGGGAGAGAGGCGATAGGAGTGTGCGAGGTTGTGGTGCGCGCTCGGTACCCACAGCCAGACCGGGCAGACAAACACGACACGAGCACTCGTTCTCCGCTAGCCCGAGTCAACCTCTGGCCCAATTCTGAGCCAAATAGCTAAAGACACAAGTACAAGCCCTCACACGAACCGACTATCCAACCGGTATTCGCCCGACCCCAACTAACTAACCACTTGGACGAGCTCTAAACCTGACCAGCTAAACAAACAGCCACTAAATTTCGATTTAAAGCTTTCGTGACTGCAGGGATTCATCTTCTTGTTTCTTTCGGTAAAGTCACGTAGAATGGAAATAATAAAATAATAAAAATAAAACATAATAAAATAATTTTCACGACGTTTCGGCCACAACACAAGCAGCCGTCCTCAGGTGACAGACCTGTTCTTCACCTGAGGACGGCTGCTTGCGTTGTGGCCGAAACGTCGTGAGAATTATTGTATTATTTCCATTCTACGTGACTTTACTGAAAGAACCAAGAAGATAAACAGCCACTAGTACTAGCCCTTCACCAACGCAAACCAACCAGCCACTAGTACTAGCCCTTCACCAACTCTAACCAACCAGCCACTAGTACGAGCCAATACCATAACTAGCCAATCAGCCACGAGACTATCCCTACACCAACGCTAACCAACTAGCCACTAGTACGAGCCTTACCCCAACTCCAACTAACTAGCCCCTGGTACTAGCCTGAACCCATCCCAACCAGACACTATTCCTAACCTGAGTTCAACTCTAACCAGCGAATTCTAGATTTGAAGCTTTTGTGACTGCAATGATTCATATTCTTAGGGTTTTTTTTGGTAAAGTCACGTAGTGAGCTCTCACTTGATACAGCTATCGTGCTGTGACAGTGCCACCTGAAGACGGAAGCTTGTGTTGCCTCCGAAACGTCGTGATTTTTATTTTATTTTTATTTTACTTTTATTAATTTTTATTTTTTACCTACGTGACTTTACCGAAAAAACCTAAGAATATCTAACCAGCTAGCCAACCAGACACGAGTATTAGCCCCACGCCAAGGCCTCAACAACGAGCAGACAGCAACGTGACTGTGGCCTCAGCAGTCTCAACACTGACCAGAAAATACACTTCACAGCTGTCAAATTCATCTAAGCGGATGCACGAGGTTTCGTGTATATGGTGTGTGCGTGTGGGGTCACTTTTTAATTTGTCTTACACAGCTTGCCCTGAAGGAATGCCGAAGGGGCTTTCATTACAATTTTAAAATTGATGAGTGAGCCGATAGGACATTGTTTAAATGCCAAAGGGATCGTGCAGACGATAGGTGATATGTTGGGACTTTTTTACATCCAAAAATGGGCATATCTGCTGCAGTGAAACGAGCAGCAATATGCACGTATAGTTTTCTCTAGGTTTAAGTTTGACACGGCGAATGCGTTGCGTAATGCTCATTATGATTACGAGTTCAGGGCTTTGTCAATCCGCAGCTTTTTGATAGCCTCCCCACACAGTGTCGGCAATGTGCCTCGTTAGACCATACTTTGCCATGCTGGTTAGTGCAAGGCTGGTGAAGTTGGAGCCCCAAATCAGTTCAGATATCACTCGCCATGAATGTTAGCCGTGGCTGGGAATCGAACTCAGGTCGCTCGGTTCGTAGTGCAGTGCGCTAATCACCGCACCACCGCTCCACCGCTTCACCAACCTAAAGGCATTACATATGTTCTATATATAACCACACATAGAAATGTAGGCTTACAAAACACATTGTGCAGCACTTAACCCAGACCTTAGCTGTTCAGCTCAAAGGCCGTCTCAAACTTTGCTGCAAGAAACGCATTACTGTCCTGTAATGGAACAGAATAGCATCATCAATCTGCGGTGGAGCTGTGCGCAGGCTCCATCATTGCAACATCTGCTACGTAGAAAAAAAGTGAAGTGGGCATACCCCCATCTTGTGTTTCAGCTAATGCTCGAGCAATTTAATGCAGGAATTAAGGTTAAGCTTTGAGTACAAAAAGACATGATTCGAAGATTTACTCAATTAAAATATTGCAACTGTCACATCCATCTCAGACGCTATTTATTATAAATGTAGAATTCAGGGTGCAACATGAAGGTATTATCGACTCTTAAATAATTGCAGTTAGACAGCAGCTTGAGGCAGATCTATACAAAATATATACACTTGGTAGGGTGAAGATTTTATCGTAAGATAGTAATATTCCTCGAAAATCTCCATGTCTCCTCCGCAGTGTTGGTTTCACACATCGAGACCCAGGTCTTTGCCAACATCTTGGGTGAGATTGTTTTGAATGCTCCTGCGATGTGCTTGTAAAGTCCACTCAATATTTTCCACTTAGAAAACTCAAGTGTGTAATAAATACGTTGCCAATATTTGAACCACACAGTTCAAACCGCTGTAATTGTTTTAATAATGGACGATACCATTTTTGACACGCTTTGGTGCTTTCTAGCATCAGTGGTGTAGCTATCGAGTGTGCAGTCGATTCCACTGCACCAGGGCTCACGGGCCAAAGGGGCCCAGGCATCAGGATACAAAGAGAGAGGGGGGGGGGAATTAGCATGTATGTTGTATGTATGCACGTTGAACTTGTTTCACAGGTTCAACATAACTAATTGGAGGTACGGGAAAGGACAACAAACAAAACAAAAAAAACCTGTTCCAAAGAAATTAGTTTTCAATCCAGATTTACAAGTGCATAGCTCCAGTGGCTTCCTAATATGGGCAGGAAGAGCGTTCCAGACGGCCGCAGAATCGCATCTGAAAGCGCCACGCGATGCAGTGACCGTCTTTGATAGATGGTTCGCCAAAAGCCACTGCGAAGATGACCAGAGCTCGCGTGATGGTTTATGCTCCTTGACGAGATCAACAAGGCATTGTGGTTCATTTGTGGCAAGCACTTTGTGTGCAATGAGTGTGACCTTCTAATTAATTGCACCGGGGCCCACGCCAATTATGCAACACGCACTGTTTACCACAAAAGACAATGAATAATATGTAAAATAAAACCCCGCAATGCATCAGATGATAAATGATCCTGGACCACTTGGAGAGAATCCTTACCAACGAGTCACAGATTTGCGTTATGCAGCCCGGCTTGAAGATAAAAATAAAAGTTCATAGCGGTGCATCCCAGGAGTGGCGAGGCAGGAGTGGGCTTCACAGACACACATCAACGAGAGCGATCTCAAACGTCAACTTAAACTGCCTTTCTCTCCCAAGAAACTCAAACGGGAAACATTAAAAATCTGTGCAGCAGACCTTCCGGATGAGCCAGAATCTGCACACATAACACAGCCCCGTTTATGTCATTTCTACTTTGAAATGTCAATTTATATAGTTTCAGTCTGCACTATCTTAGCAAACACGCTACATTTTGCATACACGGTATGTAATGTTTGATTTGTGTATATGCACTCCAGGACAGTTGGCGTGGCATGATTGACATTGGCCCTGGTGCAAGGAATACAATGTGAGACCCCGATTCAATGCCGCTCCCAATCTGCATAGCCCGGCAAATGGGCCTCTCCAGCCCATGGGCCCCAGCGCAGTTGCACCGCCTGCACCCTCGATAGCTTCGCCTCTGCGACAGGCAAAGCACACATAGAATGCATACCAAACATACATAATGAGGCGTACTAATTCGTAAATTAATATCGATTAAGCAAGCTCACGATATGCCCACATAAGTCACGCGTGTAAGAATCGATGTTTTAAACTTCGTAATTGTCGTTTGTGATGCGTTCACATCACCCCCCCCTACAGCCACAGCCACTGGTGGCCGCTACATTAACGATCATTTCAAGGTTTGCATTTCCTGACACGGACGCGCGGCGATTGATGGAATCGCCGGGGGGTAATAACTACATCGCTTATACAAAAAAAAAATCGCCCTAATAAACCACATTTCCTTGCAGGCGTGGCGGAACAAATGGACACCTGCCTTGAATAAGTGCCCAAACCTCGCGACTGACGCCACACATTAAACGTCGTCCGTGCAGTCGAGGAAATGCAGAATGTCCATCGACGACTGCCACACGCGCTTAGTTGCCATGTCTTTAATTTTCTTGGTTCTTTCGGTAAAGCCACGTAGAATGGAAATAATAAAATAATACAAATAAAACATAACAAAATAATTCTCACGACGTTTCGGCCACAACGCAAGTAGCCGTCCTCAGGTGGAGAACAGGTCTGTCCATTCTACGTGACTTTACCGAAAGAACCAAGAAGATGAATCCTTGCAGTCACGAAAGCTTTAAATCGAAATGTCTTTAATTACCAAGCGTTTCCAATGTCCGTGATTGTCAATAAGGCACCACAAACAACGAGCGAACAATGACATGACCCCTACAAAGAGCAGGGGTCAGGTTATAAAAAAAAAACACTTCAGAAACATTGCTGGCCGCTGGGCTATAGAACGCGCAGCAAATAGATTGCCTTGCTGGAGGCAAGCATCCCATGAAACTTCCATCAGCAAAAAAAATATAAAAAAAATCCTTCAGGAGGGGTGGGGCGGGGGAGGCTTAACGTGGGCGCCACACAAAGGGACGAGTTGGTGATTCACCACCATGGCCGCGCTAGCCACACAAACAACTGGCAGTGAAAACACCTGGAATTTGCATCACGGTTAATAGTGGGTTCCTTAACCGAATTGAAAGAAAATGGTGAAAACGGTCTCCAGTTCGCCGCACGTGTAATAATGTCTAT